GAGAGGACGGCTGCTTGCGTTGTGGCCGAAACGTCGTGAGAAGTATTTTATTATGTTTTATTTTTATTATTTTATTATTTCCATTCTACGTGACTTTACCGAAATAACCAAGAAGACGAGTCACACAAGTTTGTTTGCGTTATCACGAATGCTGCTGATGCTGCTGATGCTGCTGCTGCTGATGCTGCTGCTGATGCTGCTGATGCTGCTGATGCTGCTGTTGCTGCTGATGCTGCTGCTGATGCTGCTGATGCTGCTGATGTTGCTGCTGATGCTGCTGATGCTGCAGCTGATGCTGATGTTGCTGCTGATGCTGACGCTGCTGCTGATGCTGCTGCTGATGATGCTGATGCTGCTGCTGATGCTGCTGCTGATGCTGCTGATGCTGATGCTGCTGCTGCTGTTGTTGCTGCTGATGCTGCTGATGCTACTGATGCTGCTGCTGATGCTGCTGATGCTGTTGCTGCTGATGCTGCTGATGCTGCTGTTGCTGATGCTGCTGATGCTGTTGCTGCTGATGCTGCTGATGCTGCTGCTAAAAAAATGGCCTCCCCAGAAGGTTGTGCGGGTTAATGGGGGGTGGGGGTTTGTGTTAAGACATACTTGGACGCTGTGTAGTTTTACGTGGAGTGACAAGTAAATGTAAGGAGACACAATCGTGCCCTTAAATATCTCTACGATGACAACGACGCTTAACTGTGTGTTTGCGTTACATCCTAGCTTTGGATTTGCCCAAATCGCCCCACTCATGAGAAGGCACGGCTTTGTGCTCGGTGCTGCTGCTGGTGACAATGCAGTGTTGAGTGAGCGCATTCCAATGTTGTACTCTACTATTCTCCTACGCCTATGCTCGCCGCCTTCACCAACCCGCACTGACCGGCGTGGTGGTGGTGGTGTGAGGTCAAATAACCGCCACGACCCGAACGCCCTTGGGGGGGGGGGGGGGGGGGGCAGTGCCGGATAAAGCCAAGTGCGGGACCTGTAGCATTATGCTACAAAGAGGCCTCTAAAATAAAATAAAAACGTAAATATTAAGACAAATGTTTAACTTGCATAGTAAAGTAATTGTATTTTTTCATTCGCTAAACAGCAAAATAATACGACATATTCGTTAACCTTAAACACCCAGTCGTTCATGAACGTTGAAGGCGGTATAGTACTATAGTAATAGAGCAAGTGCAGAATCACTGAAACGGAATTGATAGCTTGAAAGCACGCGGGGCCCGTAGCATATGTAGCTACTATTGCTACGAGGATAATCCGGCACTGGGGGAGACCCTCATCCAGCAGTGGATTGAGTTTTGTCTGTACACGGACACAGTGTTGAACAGAGGGGGGGGGGGGGGGGCAGCGGGGGGAGCGCTTGCACAATGGTGAGCGAACGGTCACACACGGACCCGGTGACCTGAGTTTGATTTCCAGCCACACGGACCCGGTGACCTGAGTTTGATTTCCAGCTCGTTCGGCTCTCGCCATCAGTGGCGAGTGATATCCGAAGCATTACTGCACCGTCCGGCACTGGCAGGCGCGGTGAAGTACAGTAAAGAAAACAAACACCTTCATGACACACACAGCATAGGCGGGGGAGGGGATTTCATCCAGCAGTGGATTGACAGGGGGCTGTAAACGATTTTTCTTCATTGCTAGGGAATTGCGTTGATCTTGTTTTATTTAGGATCTTGTATAGCGCTTTTGTCAAAGCGTCCTACAAGATTTATAAATGGTACAGTAGTCATTGGCTGATGGCGGAAAAGAAATGGGGTTTGAATGTTGGGGAGGGGAAGAGATGGCAAGGAAGGGTGATGATAGGGGAAGGGCGAGGCGAGGTGAGGAAGGGTGATGATAGGGGAAGAGAGAGGCGAGGTGAGGAAGGGTGGTGATAGGGAAAGAGAGAGGCGAGGCGAGGAAGGGGGAGATTGGTTAAGGTTTTAACGATGACAGGAAGTAGTAGAGTGATACGCTATATACCACCATCAACATCATCATCATGATGATGGTAAAGTGCCGGGCACGAGACAATGCAGCGTGGGAACACGCATTCGGGAACGTCAGCGAAAACAGCCGTCCAGTAATCCATCTGCGTCACCTGCGTACGTCCTAACTGAACTGGTGGCGGGCTGAATGTTGGGCGGCGTGGCCAAACACATAAATATAACGCAAATATTTGATGAACAAGAGCTTTCGGGAACCCCTCCACGACGCCTCCAATCTCGATGTTAACCTTCAAGAGACACTGACGTCTTGTGAACAGTCCCAAAGGCGTCGCATCACGTCATTCACAATTTGTAAATGGCTGTTAATCGTCATACGTAATTAATTGCAATGACGTAATTGTAAATTTTAGATCGCAATGCTGTCATTGTCATTGTATAGTTGACTCCCAGGTCTGCTACACACAGAACACAATTGAGTTATTTCAAGGCCGTAGCCATGGAGTCAACATTGGGGGGGACAAAAAAAAATCGAAATTTGAAAACAAATTTCCTGCCATTTCCTGCCTAAAATATAAAAAAAATTCACTAACACATGGGATGGACTTTTTCTTTATTTTTTTTACAATAATGTCTAATAGTGTATTGTATTACATTGCTCTGTTTTTTTCTTTTTTACATTTTCTTGTTTCATTGTATGTAATGGCAGAGATTAGGGATTTATAAAGTACAACCATAACCACAATCATATCAACATAAATCTATGCATTATTATGTGAAGACAAGTCCAGATATTGTGGCCAAGGTTTAGCAATTTTATTTTATTTACATAGCATAACATTTAAAAAAATATATTGTTTATAGCAATATATTGGGGGGAGGGGGACATTTATAATTACGGCCTTGCGTTATTATCATGAACACTGCCTAATTGTTTAAACGTGTGTATGTGTAGAGGGACGTGGGAATGGACCTCTTTATATTCACGTCTGCTGTATATTTGGAGTTTGCAATGTATCTCTCTCTCTGTGGTGGCGTGGATTTTTCTCAGTCTTCCAGTTTTCCCCTCCACATTTAGAAAAATGCGTTTAGACTCTTTGGCTGGAATACATTTCCAAATGATGAGCCACTTCGTTATCATTTGTGCTCGCCAGGTCGCTTCTGAACCAGAGCTATAAATAGCTCAGTGGGCCTTATCTGGTAAAATACAAAGTGTATCGTTTATATTCTCTCAGGCCTCTTCCTCTGCCGTGGCAGATGGCCAACAGAACGAGCATCAGCTCTCCGCTATCTTTACGGGTTGGTTCACGTGTTGTCTGGGATGATGTCCGACGTTTCGCTCCACGCGCTGGGAGATTGTTGAGCTCTTTCAGGAACTGACTTTTTGTTGTTGTTTCCTTTTTGGAGCTCTCAGCACGTGGGGGTGAAACGTCAGACACGATATCGAACAGGCGGTGCCATACGAACACACACACGCGCACTCACACACTTACACACACGCGCACTCACACACACAGACACGCGCACTCACATTCACACACAGACACGCGCACTCACACACACACAGACACGCGCACTGACACTCACACACAGACACGCGCACTCACACACAGACACGCGCACTCACACACACACAGACACGCGCACTCACACACAGACACGCGCTCACACACACACAGACACGCTCACTCACACACAGACACGCGCACTAACACACAGACACACTCACTCACACACACGCGATAGAGCTACACAGAACCGCGAACACATTCGCGAGTAGTTTCATGCGTAGGAGTTTAACAGGAGCGGTGTTTGGAGGGTTGTGAGACCCCCTCCCCACCAAGTTTATGCAGCCAGATGAGCTTCAATTGGTGACAATGATGCCGCAGCAAGCCAATGGGACCTTGGGAAACTCGTCGCATTACCACCAAAGGCAGATGGCACAACGCTGGGGAGGGGGCTGTGGCGTATTGCTCGGTGCTCTGCCAGCCACCAACCACCACATGACATGACACGAGAGTTCCAAATCAAAACTGCCGCATGTTGGCCCAAGGGATGGAACCACGCGAACGAGGGCAGTCCAGTCCACTCGTGTACCGCGAGAGAGCAAAGGAAGCGATTGGGGAAAATGGGGGAAAATGTAAGAGCGCAACTCTGGAGGTCAAGGCGTTTGACCTTCAAACTCGAGGAGATGGAAAGGGGTCATGGCGCCGCATGGCGACATCGACGGCACTGGACACGACAACTCTTGACCTTGATCGTCAAGTCAAGGTCAACGGCCCTGACGCCCCAGCAAAAAGGGGCGAGTGACCATCCCTTTAACAAACTTAATTTGGAGCTTTCGTGACTGCAGGAATTATTACTCTTTGGTTCTTTCGGTAAAGAAATTAGCATGCCACTCATTGACATGCTAATTTATCTAACCCCTCCCCCTCTCTCTATTTAAGGCCTCGACACAGAGACGTGGTTTCTCTGTGTGCCTATGTACGTCTCTCTCTCTATATGTATCTCTGTGATATCTGTCTGTACTTATATGTCTGTCTATATGTCTCTGGTTCTGTGTTTTATCTCTCTCTCAAATTTAGCATTCTCAGGAAGAACGTAATCAACCAGGTAGGGTGTTGACTGTTATGTTATCCGACTCTCTGTTGTATTACATCACATTTCTAAGTATACTAGATTTGTGTTTCTATTTCATTTATACCTGATGACGATTGCTTGTGTTGCAATCGAAACGTCGTATGCTAGTATTTAATTTAGATTTGAAGCTTTCGTGACTGCAAGGATTCATATTCTTAGGTTTTTTCGGTAAAGTCACATAGGTAAAACATTGAAATTAATAAAAGTAAAATAAAATATTATTTAATTTCAATGTTTTACCTACGTGACTTTACCGAAAAAACCTAAGAATAGAATTTAATTTATTATTTTCTCTTTATACGTGATTTTACCGAAAGAACCAGTCATCCCTTTAACCCCAACCGTAAAGCCCGGCACGCGCGTCTGGTCGAATGGCACCAGCATTGATGTGTGCGACGCGTTTTCAGACCGCGTTCATTCAGCACCGCCGGCAGTCCCGTCGAGACTCGTGACCGTCATCACCGACAGTAGTCCCTTCCCCACGGGCCTCCAACCCTCACTCAGTGCAACCTTTGGGGACTGGCTGACTGCCACGCCAACGTTGCAGGGGCTTGCGATACCGATGGCCGACAGCCCATCGCTCCTCGGCACGAGCGCTTGATAAGAGTGCAACAACAACAACAGAACACACCAGCCGTGGCCAAGTGTTGGTAGTCAGTCGACCCGTGGCACCTGCTGGGTCTGCCCCATGACCTCCTGCCGGCGGGCGTTCGACACTTCACGTGGTCGCCTCAAGGTGCACATGGCCTGGCACAAGCGTCGTGGTGACGTCACCACGAATGGCAGGTGTTGTTGTGTGTGCGTTACACCTCGTGGTTGACACTCGCCTTAGACGAAGCTATGACCCCCCCCGCCCCCCCACCAGGGAGTTCTCCGACCTCTGGACACGCAGATGACCTCGCTGCTTGACCCCGGAACACTTTTGCATGGACCGCCACGCGCCAACAACAACGCATCTCCCGCGACAGCTGTGCGGACCACTCACTGCCCACGTGGCCTTGCAGCAGCAGCAGTAGTAGCCCGTTTGGGGGGCCCCCACACGGTTGGGTAACCCACTGCTGCCGAGCTCGCAGGCCTTCAAAGTCAGTGCACAATCACGGCCCTGGTGCCGTTCCCCACACACCACCACCACCACCCAACGGCCGGTCTCACGCTGCCATGACTAAATGTCACGCCATTCGGCCACGCCGCATTAAACCACGACGCAAGGCCGACAGGGGTTCGTGCGGCGTGGAGCGCGCTGCAGTGGCGATAGTTATCAAGAGCGCAGTCGGTGCAACTGCACACCAGGGCACATGGGCCGCAGCAGCAAGGTGGGGGCCCAGGTGAATATGCAGAGGACACAAACTGGGTGAGAGGCGGGGAGAGGACGAGGGGCTGGCTGGGCGCGATGACAAACGCACAGTTGGGATTGGCCGATTTTGTTTAATGAAGAACTCGCATACGGACCGACGCACGCGCACACACGCGCGTGCACGTACACACAGAATTATACTTCTCTCTGGCGCGCGTCCGACTAACACGACGCGCTGTTACCTTTAGAACGCGCGCGGCCGCGCAGTGCGAAACTGTACAGGTCAGTTGCGATGCTTAAAAACCAAAGCGTGTCATTTTCGACTACAAAACGCGACGGAACTGCAGGCACGATTCTTTTATTTTTTTTTCCTTCCGTTTATATTTTTTTGTTACAAAAATGCCGATAGTTTACCTACCTGGAACTTCCCCCCCCCTCCCTCTCTCCCTCCCCCCACCTCTCCTACATCTGTACATTAAGAGTGTGAATTACGTGCTGGGCTGGAGGTCATGTCGGGAGGAGGGGGGGGGAGAGGATACAGCTCTTTCACTCAAGTGGAAATAGCCGAAGATGAACCGGGCGAATCTCACCCAGATGCTGTTAGGCACGTAACGGAACCGTCGACTTGAATCGTGGATCTTACGGGACGCCGGGCACGGCAGGTGCAAGCGTCGGAACCGCTGCGGGGAATCATCGGACGCCCGCGCGCACCAAAAAGCACCGCTCGGGCTGACGCAGAACGCCAACTCGGAGTGGCGGGCTCAACGAGCGAGAACGGACGAAGACGACGACGCGATGGACCGCGACGAGAGGTCGTGTGGCAACGATTGTGACGATTCGTCGTCGGGAGTAGTGGGGCGAGACGGGGGGTGAAGCGTTACGTGTCTAAGAGGTAACGCAGGAAAGAAGGGGGGAGGCAACACCACGTCCGTGTCACAACCTCCCAGGACGAGAAAATTTTAGCAACCGCGTACGGCCGGCAAATGCTTCGTTAACACGGACAAAGTAATCGACACACCCCCCTTCCATTTACATTGTTATTCATTAATAAATTCGTTCAACGTTTGAATGTTCAAATACATAAATTACAAAATTAAGTCCACTGCCTTGCTGCGTGCGAGCGCGTTTCAATTCGAGGAGGCGATGATCTGCGATTTGCGAGGGACGGGTTCAATGACGGCAGGATTGAGTTTGGAGTTAAGCCAAGTTTAGATCTGAACGTAAGCTTAGTTCCAACTCCAATACACCTCAACCCCCCCCCCCAGCTCATTATCTTGATTGAACTCGTAGCGTTGATTTATAAAGGGGGCCACTAATGTAATCTACATTCATAACAAGGTGGGGATTTATATATCTATTTTACAACAGTACTCTGGGTTGTGTCAAGTCTCTCGTGTTCAGTGAGATGCGCAAGTCTCGGTCTGTATCCATGCGATTGTCCTTGGAAAATTGAGATCATATTTCAAATAAAAAATGTTGCTTTACAGGACTTGACAGTCATCTGAATAAATAAGCACGAGTGTGGAGCCGGGACTGGGAATTCAATCTGTTGATCAAACGATTTGACACAAAAAAAACTCCACGAACCTGATGGGGCTTTGACCAAATCATCTCGTCAGATCTCGGAAAGCAAAGCAGGTTTGTGTCAGCCTGGATTAGTGCTCGAATGGGCGACCAGCAATTAAGCAAGCAGGCTGTTGTAGGTCGCTGGGCTGTGCGGTGGATGGCAAGCGAAATCCTGTTGCACTGCAACTTCGACCGTTCCACCTGTTCCCCCGGCTACACCAAACCCGCACTGACCAGCGTGGTGAAGTATAGCCAAACCCCCCACCAGGAGTGGGGGGGGGGCGCCTCATCCAGCAAGTGGACTGCAAAAAAGGCGTCTGTACGTGGTGCATTTCATACAAGTTTGGAGTCGATTCGTCGCAGCAATCGGCCTGCAGATGTAAACATTCTGAATGCCATCCTCAATAATCCTAAAGCCACCGCAATACCAGCCTGAATGCCTTCACCAGTCAGTGGTTTTCGGAGTTTAGATTCTGTTCGTGGGCCCTATTCTCCCATGCCAGACGGGAGGCCACATTTGTGTAGAAACGGGGCCAGATTCACGCTGTGAAGAAACCCTTCAGACAATTTGTTCCACCATTGGTGAAGACAAAATCTTTTGCCCAAAGTTGCGACGTGAATTCGGCTCCGATGCAGCCTTCGTCACCAAACTTTTCCCGTTTCACCGTCGAAGGGATTTTAAACCTGCTACATGATCCCCCCCCCGGCACACATCTTGAGCTGCGTCAGCGTCGGACCTTCACTGTGCGGGGTGATTTTTTTCCACTGGCATTCCCCCCCCCCACATCCAGTGTCAGTTTATTTTGAAGTACCCTATGAGCCAAGAAAGCTCTTAAGTCGGGTTTCATCAATACAAACGTACCGGCTTTCGCGACAGACATAACACGTCAAGAGAAAAATAAATTAATACAAAAAACAATTAGGTAAAAAAAGCTTTTCAATGCACACGCTTTTATTTGCACTCAAAAGTAGAAAATGAATTACTTTGGCACCGGAATTGATCAAATTTGATGCCCTCAATTAAAGTGGGGTGGCTTGATCTAGATTTGAAGTTTTCGTGACTGCAGGGATCCATACTCTTTGGTTCTTTCGGTAAAGTCATGTAGGTAGAAAATATAAAATAAAATAAATCACGACGTTTCGGGCGCAACACAAGCATCCGTCATCAAGTGGGACAACCACAGCTTCCACTTCCACGGTGAACTGGATGGATGGGTTTTCCAAGTTGAGATGATTTAGAAATGCGTTCAGTGTATCTTAGCATGTTTCTTACTGTGGGTTGTCCCACCTTGTGTTGCGCTCGAAACATCGTGATTTAATTTATTTGATTATTTTATACCTACGTGACTTTACCGAAAGAACCAAAGAGTATGTATGGGGAAGCCACCCACTTTCAATGAGCACATCAAATTTGATTAATCCAGGTGTCAAAATAACTTTTCTCCTTTGGAGTGCAAACAAACGTGTGCGCATTGAAAATATTGTTGCTTTTTTAACCAATTTTGTGTGTGTACTTGTTACTCTCGCGCTATGTAAGAGGGGATCACAGTGGCCACCCCGCCGCCATGACGAGATGCGATGTAAGCGCTCCTTTCATTGGTCATAAGCTGGCCAGCAAAAGCCGCTGTGACTGGACCAGATGTTTGCCATCGTAGGTGGGCACGACCATTCGTGATTTCAAAAAGGGGAGTGGGGGTAAGATGTACGATTTTTTATTTAAAATTTTTTGTTAAAAACACGAATAGGACCACGACGGGCGGGACCTGGACCGTTTTTTAAAAATGAAATCTTGAATTGTAACGAGAGGCGGCGAGTCTGCGTAGAAAATTTACGCTCGTTAAGGCTTCGTAGATCCGAAGATATTGAACGTCAAAGATTCCCAAGAATATAAAACAGACAACACGGCAAGTTCAATAAAAGTGTGTAAAAAAGGTAATAAATGATATAATTCCAAACATAAAATGTATCTTGTAAAAGTTGTAGCCAATTAAGGAATCAAAAAAAGTGCACATGGAGCCGGAGACCAAACCGTGCTATGCCGGCCCTCGCAACAACACTTCTGAATGTGGCCCCCGAGGCCAACGGAGGGGCCCCCGATCGCGCGCGTTCCATTGCACCCGGCGTTGTACGGCAACACGACTATCAGAGGTCGCAATCGGGTACCCGATACCCGTACCCTACCCGATACCCGGCTACCTGTACCCGGCCGGGTACGGGTACCAGTTTGCGACCCTGGTGCGGCTGGGTACGGGTAGGCCGTGAGTCACTGGTGAGTAACCGTTTGTCACTCATTTCTCAACGTCTTGTCTCTTCTCACAATTCAAGTTCCTAGATTCAACCCACCCACGCCTGCAACGTGGCCTCATCCCAGAGGTCGCAATCAGGTACCCGATACCCGTACCTTACCCATACCCGGCCGGGTACGGGTAGGGTACGGGTACGGCCAGGTACGGGTACCCGTTTGCGACCCTGGTGTGGCCGGGTACGGATAAGGAATCAAAACCCGTTTGCGACCTCTGACGACTATTCAACACGGCGCTCCGCCGCGTCGCCGGAGCGTGCTTCCTCGACTCTCTCATTGTGGCGCGCGTTGACGTTTCGGTTGTGGCACCACTCGGCTTCTGCAACGGAAAGAAAACCGGGAGCCTCCCGGGGCCAAGCGACCGCCTGGTGTGGCACGGCTCAATTTCTTTGAGCAGTGGAAAAAAAAAGAGGTAACAGGCAAGCGGCGCTCCACATCGATTAAGAAGAGACTTGCAATGATTGCTTGTAACTTAAAATAGTTTTTTTATCTGGCAACAAAACTGACACCTTTTTTTACAAGGAGTCATGTTTGCATTGACCACAATACCTGCAGTTGGAATGCAAACAAAAAACGCGCCTTTTGGCGTCATCTGGTCCAACACCATGTGAGACTAGGCTCTAAGGAAAGCTGTCTAGGGTGTGGACCAATCAATTTCAAGGACAGTGCATACATTATCAGAGTTATGTTTTTTGTTTGCATTCCAACTGCAGGTATTGTGGTCAATGCAAACATGACTCCTTGTAAAAAAAGGTGTCAGTTTTGTTGCCAGATAAAAGGGTAAAAAAAACAATTATCATATTTTGCTACTGGCAAATGAGGTTCCAACACTTGTAACTTTTTTGCAAGTTTTGTGGGGTCACACAAAAGGAGGGGGTGGGGAGGGGGGGGGTCCGCCTTACCATCGCCACCACAAACTATTAACGGATACATTCGTGATTACAGTGTCACTTCGTTGTGTTTATTTAATAAAAACGTTTCGCGCCAGCTTCACTTTAGGCTGTAAAAACACAGACTGCGACGACGACGACGATGACGATGCTATTGGTCCGAGAGAGAGCGAGAGAGAGCATGTTCTGAATTGGACGAAACGGCGGGCAAAAGTATTGCTTCAGAAAGTCCGCTGTGTGTGTGACACCATGAGCTATGTACAGCCAGGCCCCGGGGATAACGAGCCCATTTATATTACACGTGTACAAAACACACACACACACATCTCCCACCCCATTGCCCCGGCCACTGCCACTCACAAACATCGCAACCATAAAATATCTGGAACCCAAAAACGAAAGTGTCAAGGAAAACGAGAGAAAATTTAAACTTAAAAAATGGGTGTTTCCTCCTCCTCCGTGTTCCAATTAAAAAGCTTAAGAAACCTCTTTAGAAGATCAGCATTGGACAGTTTGAAAACATATACAGTATGTTACCTAACGCGTCACGGTGAACTAAATACATTTTGATTTTTCATTATTTTTGTTTTAACTTACATATATATTTTGCCGAGTTTTCGTAAAAAGATTTTTTTTAAATACTGTCGTCTCGATTAACTCACGTCTTCACCGCAGCGCCGATGAAACCGTTTGACTGGAGAAAAAAAAGCATTTTTATTATATAAGTGCTTCGACACGAACCGAAATTCATTTCTTGTCATCTGCGTCTTTTTAAATAACGATAACATCCTTGTTTTTACTATTTCATATATATACTTTTTTTTGTTTCTTTAAAAACGTAGCAAATGAACGGCTTCGATGATGAGGATCGCATAATTCTTTTAAATTCCCGACACGGCGGAAGGTTGCGCGGCGTTTGTTTTCGCGGCAATTTTTTTTCGTTTTATATATATCATAAAAAAACAAGTTAATTAACTTATTGTTGTTGTTGCGATTTACAGTAAAGTACGTATTTTCTTCACGTGTTTTTTTTGTTGTTTTTCAAGTACCGAGTTGGTAAAAGCCACCGGCGGGGAGGACGTTACTCCTCTAAACCGTTAAGCGGGGGGGGGGGGGTGGGGGGGCGGAGGAAGAGGTGGGAGGGGGGGCGGCCGATGTGCCTGGCTCAACCGTAGTGTGGCCCTCCTGGGGGCGAGCGGCCGCGTCCCACTGCCCGCTGCGCGGAGGAAGCTCGCGGGGGTCAGGCGATGTCTTTCCCGTGACGCCAACCGTCCGGATCGAGCGTCCACCACCCCCCTCGCCCCACCCGCCCCACCCGCCCCACCCTCACCACCCCCCCCTTCCCCCCCGCCAGCATCGGCAGTTGAATCAACGGGGGTCGTCTGCCCGCGCGTGTCCGTTCATCTCGGAGCAGTCATGCGCGTCCTCGTCGTTGGTTCGTCGTCGCGGTTGATTTCGTCTCCGCGTGCCGTCGAAATGCCCCTAAACTCAAGGTCCCCACCCCCCCCACACCACACCCGCCGTCGACGTTGGAAGAAAACCGTCGGAAAGTGGCGACGGCGGCGTGGCGGCAGCGCCCATGACGACCGTGGGGAAGCGGGGGGGGGGGGGGGCGGCTTGGGTTCCGCTGCTCGGCGCGCGGATGCCACAGAGTCGGTGACCGGAGCTCGCCGCGCTCGTCGCTACTTGAGCACGAATGCTTCGCAGGAGAGCGACGAGCGCTTGCGCAGCTTCCGGCCCGGGCCCTCCTCCAGCAGGTACGTCACGTCGATGGCTGCGCGTGTGCGTGCGCAGGCGGCGGAGAGAACCCGGGGCCAGGGGGTCGGGCGGGGAGAGAGCAAGGTCAGGAGACGAGGCAGCACGGGACGATGACGACACAACAACGTGGCCCAAGGGCAGCGCTGTTTGCCCCCCTTTGTTGTGGGGTTCAAGCTTAGCGGGCGCCCCGGATATCACCGCGGGTGTTATTGCCCTGAACACGGGCGTCCGCTTTAGTGGACGTTAAATATTGCGTTGCGTTATACGAACAAGGGCAGGCGGCCGTGAGCGATGGCGCCGCGATCAATATGTAGCGCGTCACAAATTTCTACATACCTGGGCAAATGACTAAATTGGTTAAAACCACAGCAAGATCACCACCCCCCCCACCCCCCGACTGGCAAACTACACATCTGCGACACAGCCCCTTTGTAATAGAGGTGCAAAACAGACTGTTCTAGCTCACTATTATACTCATTAAAAGCTTTGTACATGTACAATCTGTGAATGTAACTCAAAGCTCCCGCGGCACCGTTGAGCAGCAACAAGGACCCCCCCCCCTCCACCCCCCTTCCTCACCGTTCCTGCTGGGGCATTTCGCCAGAAGTGACAGGAGGAAGTTGTTGAGACGATCCTTCTGCCGCTGCCGGCGCTCCCCCTCTGTGGGGGCTGCTGCTCGTGGAGGGCTGCTCCGTGGAGGGCGGCTCCGTGGAGGGCGGCTGCTCTGGCCTGACCCCCGACCTGTCCTCCGAGCAGACCTCCGACATCGCCGCTCGCTCCCTCTCTTGCTGCAGCTGTCGCCGCGCCCGGCTACTGCTCCTGCTGCCCCTGCTACAGCTGCCCTGGATGACAGCGCTGGCGCCGTCGATCCTTTCTTTGCCGTCGCCATCATCGTTTATGCCGATGCTGACGCCGCTGCCGCCGCCGTTACTGCTGCTGCAATGCTCCGCCTTGGTCTCGCCGTGGCAAACCGACTCGGCTTTTTTGTGCTCCTCCGATAACGTTGCCACAGGCAGTGCTGGTGGCGGTGACGGTGGCGGTGCTGGTAGTGACGTTGCCGGTGGTGAAGACGCCTCGTCCACGTGTCTAGAGGACGGCGCTCCGAGCATCGGCTTCTTCCTGCGCGAGCGACTCTTGTCGGACTTCCACGAAGGTGACCGGCTGCTGCTGCTGCCGCCGCCGCCGCTGCCGCCGCTAGTGTCACACGCGCACGTAACGGACAGTCTGCGTCAACTCGCCGTGTCGCCATCTCTCCGGATTTAATCGCCGCCGTTTATCCATTACGGGGGGGGGGGGGGGGGGGGCAGCGGTGCGCACAAGTACTGAACCGTGAACATGAGAACCTGGGTTTGGATCCCGGCCAAGTCTAACGTCGGCGGCGAGTGGCATCCGAACCGATCTTCGGCTTCCCACCCCTTTCACCATCTCGCACTGAACTGGGTGGAGAAGTTTAGTCGAACCCACGTAACCGACATGGCGTGGGAATGCTTCCATCCAGCAGTGGATTGGCAACTGACAGGGTCGTAATTCTGATTTGCCTTGGGAGGCATGTTAAAAGCGATCGATCCATCAATTTAAATTTACTCTTACGCTCAAGATACACGTGCCAGAATTGTACTTGGAATAATACATTACGTAAAATTTCGTGCACATTATCTGTTAATGGACGCTTACGGATATAAGAGAGATGGACAAGAAGTGCATGACAGATGAGAGAGACATTGCCAATAGGACAGACAAACAAACAAACACGACAGGCAGTACGAACAAAACAGATGGAACGAGACGGCAAGTAAATATGGTTTGAATCGTGACCGAAAAACTGTGACCCGAAACCTTGACCCGGAATCGTGATAAATCTGTCAATTGCTTGGGGACGATGAATCATCACCCAACTCTATACCTTGCCACTTTTGTATTGTTCAAACGAAGCGACGGAACGTGATCAAATGCTGCTCGCATCTCTTATGTGTCCTGGGGAGAAAATGGGTCTCTGCTTATCACCCACTGACATCGTGACCCGTGTCCCTCTCTCCCTCGACTCTCCCCCCACTCCCCTCCCTCGACCCCCCCCCTTTCTCCTCTCCCTCCCTGCTCCACTCCCTCCCTGGATTGAGTGAGAGAGGCCACTCACCTCCCGCCATTCCGCTTGTAGTTCTCTGGAACGTGGTGAGGCTGAAGGGAAAAAAAAAACACAGCAAGCCACACCAAACGGCAGCACACAAACACGCAGACGTGGCGTTAAAATTATTTACAACAGCAGTTGCCCAGAAAACACATTATTTGTTCATATATTTGCTGTGGCGCTGCAACTTATGCAACAAAGGCACACTCCACAATGCCTGTACAAGTCAAAGCCGTTCTATTCAAGGTCTTTCTTAAAAAACTAAAATTTAGGTCTCAACGGGTTCTTGCCGGGTTACACTTGAAGGTCAGCTCATCCATCTGTGCTGTTTCAGGCTCCATCTCCCCAGCACCCTCCACTTCCTACCCCTACCTCTAAGATATTCTTCTCACATTCGGTGATCCCGCGACGATGTCGCCCGGATCGCAGAATCATCATCAGAATATTCAGTTATCCTGGAGGAATCCGATAAGCTACAAAGCTCTTTTTCACAGATGTCCTGGAGCCACGTGACCCTTTTTGCCTGACCCCTGGGTGCTACCCTGTGAACGGTGACCCTGGGTGGAGCCCTGTGAACCCTGACCCTGGGTGCAACCCTGTGAACGATGACCCTGGGTGCTACCCTGTGAACGATGACCCTGGGTGCTACCCTGTGACCCTGGGTGGTGCCCTGTGACCTGTGACCCTGGGTGGGACCCTGTGAACCATGACCCTGGGTGGAGCCCTGTGAAGCCTGACCCTGGGTGGTACCCTGTGAACCTTGACCCTGGGTGGTACCCTGTGAACCTTGACCCTGGGTGGTGCCCTGTGAACCGTGACCCTGGGTGGTGCCCTGTGAACCATGACCCTGGGTGGAGCCCTGTGAACCGTGACCCTGGGTGGTGCCCTGTGAACCATGACCCTGGGTGGAGCCCTGTGAACCCTGACCCTGGGTGGGACCCTGTGAACCATGACCCTGGCTGGTGTCCTGCGAACCATGACCCTGGGTGGGTCCCTGTGAACCGTGACCCTGTCGCGGCGTTTAGGCAATTAACTTGCCGTGAAATCCCGCTTGGGCGCGAGGCGCTTCTCGAAGTGGTCGAAGGCGTAGGCCTTGGTGCATGTGGGCCAGTGGTTCTTGTGGATCTTGTAGAAGAGGTGAGCCGACTTGTCGAGCCGGTAGTCGCAGATGTACACGTCCTGCTCCTTCACGCCCTTGGGGCGTCCTGCGCAGACGGCGGACGCAAAAGGCTCTCGTCACAGAGACGAGGTGGAGACGCCGATACCGGCGCTTCGGACGCGGGACACGCGGGGGGCTCAGACACGCCACGCACAAGGACTAAGAAACAGATACAAGGGTTACAACAAGCAGCATGTAAGAGCTCGGATAGAGGGTTTGGGGACATGGACAAGCAGGTCTAGACACAGAGGAACAGAAGTGGGCCTAAAAACTATGGGCGTCATTCACCATGAGTGGGAGTTGTCTGCTTCACAGTGGGCATTGAAGAAGCCTGAGACATTACAGTAAAACCTTTGATTGCGAGTAACTTGGTCTGCGAGTGTTTTGCAAGACGAGCAACATTTTTAAATAAATATTAATTTGATAAACGAGCGAGGTCTTGCAATACGAGTAGTACGTGCATACGCTTTGTCTGCCGAGCGTCACGTGATCACAACTGGCATACGAGTGCTTCGGATTACAAACACGTTTCCGGAACGAATTATGCTCGCTATCCAAGGTTTTACTGTATTAGAAAGAGAGTGGGGCCATGGTGTCACGGTCCAAACTTTGACAAAATTACTCGCAAAGGACTATAATAGTCGAGGAGGGTTTAAGAGACGCATTTTACTTAAGCGATGCGACCCAAAATTCGATTACGAATCACAAGGTGGTGGTGGCGGTGATGTTGATGAGTGATGGCAGCGCGTTGAGGGTGGGTGGGGAGGGCAGGGCGGTTGTAGAAGGGGGTCGCGGGGCCCCACCCTTGCAGAAGGTGTAGAGGTCCATGACTTGGCAGATGCCGACAACGGCCTCGAGGGGGATGATCTCGTAGAGGGGCACGCGGAAGAGCTCGTTGTGGTAGAAGCGGCGCGACGGGGCGTGGTGCGTCTCGTGCGGCCGGAAGTAGTGGTGCCCAAACGCAAAGCGCTCGCCCCTGCGGCGCGCACGCACACACGGCCAAGCGCACGTGCGGTTATATACGCACACACACAAAGACAAAGATCCCCTCGTATAGCCTTAACAGACTGTTGGGGCAAGTGCTGTTACCGAGCACCTATGAAAGCCAGCAAGTTAAACGAGGGGGTGGGTGGCCAGCACCACGCCCAACCGCCTTTGTCCCGCACCAGGTACTATTTTGAGGCCCAGTCGCCCAAGGGGAGGCCCTGAACCAGGTCAGATAATCGTCACTGGTGTTGGCCGTGAGCGGGAATGGAACTCGGGACGCCGGGTTCGTAGTGCAGCGCGCCAACTGCTACACTACCACTCCCCACACACACGCACGTAAACCTAACAGAATGGGACTTCCATCTATAAGGTACCTTACATTTTTACATTTTTAAACACGAGCGCGCGATGCCAGCGTTAAGAAACACAGGGATTTTGCCGTCACGCCGAATTGATCGACACACAATCGCCGTGACACGAGGGTAACGTGTCACAAGATTCACGATCACAACGAGCCCATCATTTGCATCGCAAGACACGCACAATCACAATGACCCTCAGGGTTCACATAACAAGACGCACACATTCACGAAGCACGCGGCTGTGCGTGGGCGTGCGTGCGTGGGCGTGCGTGCGCGTGCGTTTGCGTGCGTGGGCGTGCGTGGGGGTGGTGGCTTTCAGGGTCCTCACTTCTCGTTCTTCCAGAGCTTCTCTACGCGGAAGATGTCCAGCTTGTCAGGGCTCACGTGCGACAGCAGCCGGTACGACTGTCGCACAGGCTGCCCGTCGGCACCGCGCCGCTGCTGGGAGTTGTCCCTCATCAGGTACACGCAGTCGCCTGCAAAGACAAAGATCCCCCGGATAGCCTTTAACATACTGTTGGGGCAAGTGCTGTTCGTGAGCGCACCCTGCGAAGGCCGTCACGGCACACGAAGGGGTGGGTGGCGGACACCACGCCCGACCGCCTTCATCTCCCCGAGTTGACGATGTTTTGACACATCGCACCAGGTACTCATTTGAGGCTGAATTGACCTAGGGGAGGCCCAGGACCGGTTCATATCGTCACTGGTGTTGGCCGTGAGTGGGAATCGAACTTGGGTCACTGGGTTCGTAGCGCAGCGCAGGCGCCTACTCCCACGCACACACATAAACAAAGATCCCTCACGAGAATAGGTTTTTCCCTTTTTTCTGGCAACAAAACAGGTGTGTTAAGATATTAAAACACCAAACTGAAACCTTTTACAAGGAATCATGTCTACATTAACTACAATACACTTTGTGGTCAGAATGCAAACAAAAAAAAACACTGATAATATATGCATTGTCCTTGAAACTTATTGGTCCACACCAGAGACAGCTTTCTTTTGAGCCTCGTCTCAAACGGTGTTAGACCAGAGGACGCCACATGAGCTATTGGGGCAAGTGGTGTGGCCACAAATGGGTGGCTTTGTCTCTATTATAACAACAGCTGTCAAAGGCTCGCTGACAGGCGATCACGGGACAGACCGAGGTGCCATGGGTTGATTGACTCAGATGACAGATGCACCAGCTGTACCCCCTACTGTGCCAACTTGCTGTTGTGGGCGTCGCTCTCCTGCCCTCCGTTGTTGTTGTTCGAGGGCGACTGCCTCCCAACTGCCCAGTAGCGTCATTTACGAGCCTCCTCCGCTATCCACACTGCACCAGGTACTCATTTGAGGTGGAGTCAACCTAGAGGAGGCGCATGATCGGTGGTGATATCACTCGCCACTGGTTTTAACCACGGCTGGAAATTGAACTCAGGTGGTAGGGTTCGTCCACACTTGGCGAACATCTTTAAATACCCCACGGAGAGGTGTTTACTGCGTGTTAATACTGGTAGGAACCACCTGGTTCCACCAGCCCACAGGGGATTATTGTGTCCGTCCGTCGTGCATCCAAAAATGGGAGGGGTGGGGCTGGCTGAAGAGGGAAGGGTGGGGAGGGGCTGGGTGGGGAGAGTGGGGAGGGGCTGGGTGGGGAGGGGCTGGTCACCCCGTGGTGCCCTTATAAAACTCAACGTTTAACCTACTCACGCCGGCTTGTGCCCGCCCTCACAGTCGGCCATATTTGCGGAATACACCACGCCGCCGTTGACCCTGGCCATTGACCGAGCAACCCAACGTTCCTACCAGCTCCCTCCGCAGGAATGTGTTAAGCCATACGTAGCAATGAGTATAACACAAGGCGGTACACCAATTTTACATTCAGTCATCGGTGGCCAGGCCGAGACAATCGACTCGCCCCGCGCGTGAGAGCCCGGCCTTAAAACACGGGCGGCCTAAACCAGGGTTCAAACCCACAATCTCAGCGGAGTCGTCTCAAATTCTCCGTGAGACCCTCCCCAGGCGAGCCCCTCCCAGAGGATAGCGGCGATGTGCGATGGCCCGCAACCCACCCTGCTTGAGCAAGAGGTCGTCACGGAGGAGGCAGATGTAGTAAGAGCTTCCGTTCTGGGCGTACGACGGCTGCGGCACCATGGGCACCTCCTGCGGGCGGGGCGGGGGTAGGGGGTGGGGTGGGTAGTAAGCGGACGAGCACGTGCGGCGCTGCCTGCGTGTCTGTAGCGCGCGACTGACGAAGGGCCTCGCAAGTGTCACGGCACCGGCAAGGGTGCTCACGCCGCTCGCCGGCGGGTCAAGGAGGACATTTGTTTGGTTCGGGGCGAGTGCGGACGTAATACTCCGATTGATGCTCCTGCTGTTGTGGAGTGATTCATGCAGCCAGCTATGGCTGCAGGGTTTTGGTAGTACATGTTGTTTATGTAATTTATTGTGAAAATTCCATCACAGTTCCGATGATCACTGTTTCATTGCTTTCGTAGCTTTATTTTGGTGATTTCGAAAAGTGTATTGGTTTAGCCATGTTTGTTTGTTGTAGTACAGAGTTAGACTGATGGCCTTAATCTAAGTTGTCTTGTTGTTGTTGTTTGATTTGCATCCCACTGGGATTTTTGCACACAGTGTTGGTGTACGGTGTTTTTTCTGCAATATTTTGCTGTCTTTTCTTGGACTTTCTGTTTGCACTCAGTTACATATTCACTTTAAGATGTTTTTTTGTTCATGTTTTTGTTTTTTGTTTGTTGCGGTTGCACCCAATTCAAGAGCCGAATGGCTCACAGGGCTATACCTAATAAATAAACTTGAAACAACGAGGAGGATTAGAGGCGTGCGCCGTTAGCTGGGTTTTCCCGTGAGAAAGAGAGAGGCCAGGTGTAGGTAGCGACGGTGGGAGCTAGATAATAAGAATGACATTTATAACGCGCAAGATTTTACAGACAAGTCAACAACTCAGAGGCACGGAACCAAGCTCTGGGTTGCTCGAACGCCTGATCCAAACAGATAGAGAGGAGGCCTTCAGATGTTTCTTAAGAGTCGGACTGCATTTGATGTTGCGGTTGTACAAAGGGATGGAGAGTTCCACACCGAGGTTATGTAAGAGATGAGAATAAAAGGAAGAACCCAAAGGAGGGAGAGAGGTGGACAGAGAGATAAGGACGGAGCGACTGAGAAACACGGAAATGAGGAGACGCAGAAAGACTTGGTGAGTTTGGGGATATGGAGAGGTGGGGGAGATATCAACGTGGAGGAACTGCGGAGCAAAAGATGAAAAGAGACGGGGGATACGGCAAGAGGGGAGATGGGGAGGGGAAGATGGAGAGATGGGAGGAAGCGGGATTGTGAGAAGCGAGACTGGGACATGTCGGAAGAGGAGGGGAGGAAGAGGCCGGGAGGACGATAGGAAGCGGCGATGTCCACCCACCCGTTCGACGTGGCGTGGCTCGCACAGCTCGCACAGATAGTGCTCCACGTCCTCCGTCACCTCCATGCAGTCGCAGTGCTGCCACACCTGGGGCACAGGGGCGGCAACGGCACCGTCACGCGGCGCCCTCTACCTAGTCGGGTCGCAGCCGACTCGGGAACATTCGACCCCTTTGCACGTGTGCATTTGCGTCGCTCTTGTCAAAGTCCTGCTCGAGTCACGTGGGTCTTGGGGTGCGACGTGGTGTGTAAATGAGACCCAGAGGCAATGGGCAACATTTAAAGCAAATGGTCCTTACTGCCCGCTCTAAAACGGCCTCATTCCGACGATAATTCACTGAAATCAATAGAGACATGGGGACGGGAACCTATTGGGCCCTTACGATAGATAGTGAGAGGGTGCGACGTGGCCCAGCGGTCGCGCGTTTGGCACAGAGGTCCGCGGCTCAAACAGAGGAACACCGCGCTGGTTAGTAGTGCGGGCGCTTTAACCATAGAGTACGCGACGCCTATTCAGAGTGGATGGTCAAGGTCCTGTGAAGTTATTCGAAAGTGTGTGGGCCATCGTGTGCACACGGCTCCCTTGGTCCAAATGTTACACATTTTGAACAATTACTTTGCAAATAACTTAATTGTCGGACACAAGAGCGACCGTCGCTTCCTCGTGCGAAAACTTAGCAAGGGGCCTTCCTGGAAGAAAACATAAATAAAATGAAGATCCTCAAGACTCGGTGAGGATTTCCTGTGTAAACACAACGCAGCAAAGGACGACAACAAAACGACATTTCGATTTAAAGCTTTCGTGACTGTAGGGATTCATCCTCTTGGTTCTTTCGGTAAAGTCACGTAGTATGGAAATAATAAAATAATAAAACATAATAAAATAATTCTCTTTCGATTTAAAGCTTCTTTCGTGACTGCAGGGATTCATCTTCTTGGTTCTTTCGGTAAAGTCACGTAGAATGGAAATAATAAAATAATAAACATTTAACATAACAAAATAATTCTCACGACGTTTCGGCCACACGCAAGCAGCCGTCCTCAGGTGGAGAACAGGCCTGTTGACAAGATAATTCGTGAGAATTATTTCCATTATGTTTAATTTTTATTATTTAATTAGTTCCATTCTACGTGACTTTACCGAAAGAACCAAGAAGAACAAAACGACAATTGGCAGCCCCCGCCCCCCCGCCGCGTCTCCGTCCCTCCTTACCAAGCACTTGTCGCACTGGATCATGAGCCCCTCGTCGCGGAAGAGGCCGCAGATGCAGCGGATGACGTCGTCGTTGGCGCCGCCGTCCTTGTCTCCGCCGGCGCCGCCCCCGTCATGGCGGTCTGCCCCGGACGCGGCGCCGTTGGTGCCGGTGCCGGTGCCACCGCCGCCGCCGCCCGAGATCTCGCTGCCGTCCGCCTCGCTCGCGGTCTCGCCGGCGATCTCCTCGAGCTGAGCCGAGGCGTCGCTGCGGGCGCTGTAGTAGGCCTTGCGCAGGCGGCACACGGCGCGGCCCACGTTCGACTTGCGCCCGTGGTACTTCTGATGAAGGCAAGCGCAAGCAAAGCTTTCATTCTAGATTTGAAGCTTTCGTGACCGCAAGGATTCATACTCTTTAGTTCTTTCGGTGAAGTCACGTAGGTGAAAAATTATTTTATTGCTTTATTTTTATTAATTTTAAGTTCATTTTTTACCTACGTGACTTTACCGAAAGAACTAAGAGTACAAAACTTTAATTATCCACGAGTAAATTTAGACGAAGCCAAACTTTTCATTTTACCAGGTAAGGCCCCCACTGAGCTATGTATCAATTTTTTAGAAGCGATTTGGCTATCACAACCTAAACTATTTTTATTTTTCGATTTAAAGCTTTCGTGACTGCAGGGATTCATCTTCTTGGTTCTTTCGCTAAAGTCACGTAGAAGGGAAGTAATAAAATAATAAAAATAAAACATAATAAAATAATTCTCTGTCGGGGAGACAACGTCTGAATGACGCTGTCTCCCCGACAGACCTGGTCTTCACCTGAGGACGGCTGCTTGCGTTGTGGCTGAAACGTCGTGAGAATTATTTTATTATGTTTTATTTTTATTACTTCCCTTCTACGTGACTTTACCGAAAGAACCAAGAAGACGAGTCACACAAGTTTGTTCGCGTTATCACGAATGCTGCTGATGCTGCTGATGCTTCTTTCTTTAACCACGTAAAGTCCACATTGGGGGGGAGTTGAGGGGTGGGGGGTAGAAGCTGTACCTCGGCGTTACGGAACACCTTGAGCACGTCAGTGTCGAACGCCTCTGCGGTGCGGTAGTGCCCCGTCAAGATCTGCCGCTCCACACGAACCAGGTCCAGGGGATCCTTCACCTTCTCGTAGTAGTCCGGGTTCCTGCCCAACGCAGTCATCCGCTCAGTCGGCTGTGTGTGCGTGTGTGAAAAGGCGGCGGATGCCGGCTGTGTGTGCGTGCGTGTGTGTGTCTGTGGTGCGTAAACATCACCACCGGGGGAGACAAAGGTGGCTGGGCGTGGTGTTGGCCACAGGCATTAAGATGTTCAAACAACCTTTGGCAAGGAATCAAGTCTGCATTAACCACACGTACCAATCAGTTTCAAAACCAATGCGTATTTTATCGGAGAATGTTTGCATGTTCACCACGTGTACCGTGTGTTATTAATGCAGACGTGATTCCTTGCAAAAGTTATCTATTTGGTGTTTGAACATCTTAACACCGCCGGTTTTATTGCCAGAAAGGGTAAACACCTATTCTTATTTTTAATGCTTTGATGCTGGCAAAAAAAATGCCACATGACCTTTTCCTCTTATTTGCAATAAATCGCACTTCCCTTTTCCATTTCCATACATTAACATCCTTGACCCGACCCCCACCCACCCACCCACCCCCTCTTCCCAAGGGGTGTGTGTTCCGCGGGTACAAAGTTGCTCGTCATTTCCGGCGAGCGTTCGATTTGAATTATTGCTGCTTATTAGGCTCTGGCAATGACTACATGCTGATTTTAAACCTCATTATTAAAGGACACTCTCGCCTGGCAGTGGCGCAGTGGCAATCATCTATTGCGTGTTTGTATTGTTTGTTGTTGTTACGTTCGGACCCTGTGCTCCAACTGGACATCTGTGAAGAAGAGCTTCATAGCTCATCGGATTCCTCCTACAGTATTAATTCATATTCCGATTCGCTTGCTAACACCACTTGCCCCAACACCCCGGTGAGGCTATACGGGGGATATTTGTCTTTGGAACGGTAGTGTAGCGGGTAGCGCGCTGCGCTACGAACCCGACGGTTCCAGCTCACGGCCAACGCCAGTGACGATTATCTGAACCGTTCCTGGACCTCCACTAGGTCGACTCGGGCTGAAATCAGTACCTGGTGCTGTGTGTAAACATCGCCACCGGGAAGACAAAGGCCGCTGCGAAACACTACTGGTCATGTATGTGACAAAGAGCTTTACAGCTCATCGGATTCCTCCAGTATAAATATTCTGATTCTGACACGAAGGAACTCGCACTTGCCATTCATTGCCACTGCATATAGGACAGGCAAAGGTTTCATAGTTGTAAGACACAACTTACTTCTTCCTGGGGGGCAGGCTGAGCAGCGGGGTAGCCAGGGTGTGTCCACTTGGGTCTGTAGCGCACGGAACGGAACCGCATGGTCAAGTAGGACACCTCTGAGCCAAACGCTGACCATGACAAACAAGTAAAACAAAACTATGAAGTATTTTTTATTTTACCAGGTAAGGCCCACTGAGCTGCCTAACTCTTTTCCATAAGCGACCTGGCTATCACAAATGATAGCCCAAAGAAGTGGCTTATCGTGTACAGGCAAATAGTCGAGAGGGAAAAACCGGAGGACCCGGAGAAAAAATTCACACTCCAAATATACAGCAGGCATCAGGGTCGGGATCGAACCCACGACCTCCTGTAAACCAGGCGAGGTCGTAAACATCTCACCAAGGCCTTATTACGAGTGCAGATAACGGTGATCGAGGACCAGCTCTGAATAACAACAGTCAGTAACCGATCCTAAATGTACTAGCAAATCACAATTTCTAACAAGTTTATATTACGAGCAGAAATGTAACGATTCATGACTCCCTAGGATTCGATGATTTGTCACAATCCAGACGTTTGATTCTATTAGAGAACGTTAATTAGCTTTAAATTTCACTTCACCATCTTGTTCGTATCGGTAGATTTGCCTTCGTCTCATTCATACCAAGTTTTGTTTTCTCCACCAGCCTAACATGTAACATTCGTATACATATATTTATATTTGCACAAACAGTCCCCGAAACTTGCACGCACAATTCCAGGCACGCATCGTGAGCATTAAGAACCAATATCAATTAATTAATCAATGCACAGTTGATCACGGACAGCCCCTGCTGCGAATAATCGGCTGGATGAGAGGGCCTCCCCAAGCAAATGCAGGTCACGAGGGTTATTTGACCATACTTCACCACGCTGGTCAAAGGAGGGGTTGATGAAGGACGGGGGGGGGGGGCATAGATGTGGAATCGAAGATGTGCAGCGGTGGTACACGACTGTAAATCGACCACCGTGGAGGAGGCAGCAACGAGGGGTTTGCGGATTGTATATATGAACCTTATGGCGGAACCCCGGGGTCTCATAAGCCCCCGGCTCTCGCGTAAACTGCGTTGCGACGTCATTTGATGTCTGTTGAAGGCGAACGATACGGCAATCGATTTCTCTCGACGAGCTCTACACGATGCGCTAATCAAAGTTTTACTTTCGCCGCGCTTTGACGACATGACAACAGAATGATCCGCGCCAGGTGGGTCGCGGCGTTTATGTGCGCGGTGGGACGGAGTCGCCAAAAAACTTAATTATTACGATTTTGACTTCCGTTTATTCGGGACCCCGGGGCCCCGCCATAAGGGACAAATGTTGCGGAACGCCTTTTTTCGGAGTGCAATACCCTGGCTCGCCAGCAGAATGCAGCAGAGCAAAGTGTGGAATGACATCAGCTGTCCTTTCTCTATTGGATTGCGTGTGAATCATCCATTAGAAAAATATATTTTCCTTGCAACTAGGGATGTAGCTGCACTGCCCTCTGCTGCCCACAACATTGCCCCGTACCCGATGACAATCTGTGCGTGGCGGTCGCCTATCCAAGCACTATCCAAGGCTCAAAGCTGCTAAAAGGATTACGAGATTAGGTGCATTATGGGTCATACCGTCATAGGCCAATTCATGGCTTCAACAGACTCGTCAATAACGATGCGGGCCTTCTTCGTGGCACACGGCGGCGCCAGAGAGATACAAATTAACCCGTAAAAACAAAGTTTTTCACTATAAATCCTTTATATGCGTGGCATCGGTTTTATTTTATTATTCAGTTCTGTTTTTCTTGAGTAAGAGTTTCATTTTTATCACATTGGTATTTTAAATGAAATATGAAATTTTTTTTTTTTATAAAAAGTGGAAAATTTAGGAAAAAAATTTTCACGAAAATAAATTGTCACGCACAACGAGTCTGTGTGCAAAATGTCAGCTCGATTGGATCACAGGAAGTGGGTTAAAAAACGACCGAAAGAGTTGCACGGTCGTAAGCGCGCAAGCAAGCAAGCGAACTCAATATAAAGGATTTAAAAAGACTTGCAGGCTGCACTTGCTGACACCATGGGGCCTGAGGTGGATTACATTTGAGAAAAATTCTCCGACGGCGAATGTTCAAACCGGCGCATTAAGTTACCGCATAGCGGCTATAGTATAACCGACAAAACCCTTGAACAACCAAAACGTTTGACTAAATAAACTCACGTTAATGCACGCACAGAGAACCAACTTTGCAAGCGAATGTGTCCAACCGTGGGTGGGGGCAAACTAAACGCAACAAAGCACTTCTAAAGAAACTTAATTTTCAATCTCGAGTCTATAAAGGGCCACAGCTTCGGTGGCTCAAACGAGCAGGAGGCTGTTCTAGTAATCTTCAAACGTCGTTCTCACCTCTTCTTTACTTGGTTGCCGTCAACTACTTTCCGCCTTGCCATGCATAGAGCCCTGAGACAACGATTGTTTTTAGGGCGCTTAATAAATTTAAATTATTATCAACGACGCGGCGCTTCCCCCCGCCCTCCCCCCACCCCGCTCGTAACGGAGTCCTGTCCCTCGAACCGCGAGCGCGAAAGGCTCACCCTTGAGCGTCGTGACCACCGTGCAGATGTCCTTGAAGACCTGGGCGAGCCGCGCCGTGCGCGCAACCTCCGTGTTCTCCTCCGCCGCCGCCAGCCGGCGCGTGCGCACCGAGCGCGCCGTCTGCAGCGCTGAGAACTGCGTCATGAACACGTCTGGGGAGACGGCAGAAGCGGGGGGGCCCCCCGGAGGGGAGGATCGCGGGGTTAATGCGCGCGTGTATGCATGCGCGTTGAACTTTGTTCGCGCTGTGTACGTAGCCAGCCGTGCTCGTCCGAGGTGTCAAGCAGCCGACGGGCGCCAGAGGTCGCAACCGGGTACCCGATACCCGTACCCTACCCGATACCCGGCTACCCGTACCCGGCCAGGTACGGGTACCCATTTGCGACCCTGGTGCGGCCGGGTACGGGTACGGGTAGGCCGCGAATCACCGGTGAGTAACCATTTGTCACTCATTTCGGGTAGGGTACGGGTAGTGTACGGGTACCCATACCCGGCCGGGTACGGGTACCCGTTTGCGACCCTGGTGCAGCCGGGTACGGGTACGGGTAAGGAATCAAAACCCGTTTGCGACCTCTGACGGGCGCCCACGTTTCATCGCGGCCGTCTCACCGAGCGGGACAGCTCTCCCGTTTGCGTTTTCGGGTCGTACCGCGAGTTTGTTTTCCGGCACGTCGTCCCAACATGTTGTCCGCTCCACGTGCTGGCGAGAGCCTTTGAAGAGGCCTCCAGCACGCAGAGCGAAACGTCGGACATCGCGACGAACAACACTCGCGGTGCGCGACCCGAAAACGCGCGTCTGAGAGCCACCCGAGGAACTGCGAAAACCCTCGCAGCGGTATCCCGAGTCAACATCCGTGCAACGTCGATCCGACGTCCATATAATGCCGAAGCCCTCCTCCCTCCACGCTACCATCCCCCACGGTCCTACGATGCCGCAATCCAAAGAAATCTTGCAGACGAGCCGATCTCCTGTCTCACTTGGTGCACGTGATTGTACCAGTGCTCCATCTCCACAGAGGTCGAACCACTCGTGTTTACGTTCTGTCCTTTGGCTACCATTCCGCCGCTTGTTTTATCTACCGGCCATCGTCCCTCCCCACCCGGACGTGTTCTGCCCAAGCCTTCTAAACCCTTTTCTTTTAGCAGTCCACGAGGAGTGGAACATTTTATTTTGTTCCCTAATTCCACGTGTCTCAGTATCTCTGCAAGCGACCAAGCGGGGGGGCGACGCGACGCTTGCGTCACAACTCAGCGGAGCCGTTCCGTAACACATCGTAAAAAAAGGTTTCAGGCGGTGACAGCCCTCAACGACGTAAACGCGCCGGCGACGTAACGCGGCCGCTCGCGTTCGCTTGCACCGACCAGACTTGATGTTGCCGTCGTCGCGGGCCAGGCTGCCGTTCCAGCGCGAGTACGCCGCCGCCGCCGCAGCCGCCGCCCCGGTCGGCGTCGCGTCCTTCCCGGCCGGGCCGCCGTGCTCCTCGCGCCTCCGGTAGATCCGTTCCCAGTTGCGCACGAGGAACACGCCGTGCTTGAGCACAAAGTTTCTGCGGTGACATTGAGAGGCGGAGGGGCGGATGTACGTACGATCAACACGGAGGCTTTGGCGATCAAAATGATTCCGACAACATTAACCCCTCCCCACCTCTGGTCTTCGGACCTGATAGGCTCACAGTGATGACCTCACCTTTGTACTCCTCGATTTAAGACCCAAACAGGAAGACTTCTTCACCAACCCTGGAAAATCGCCTGATGAAGCTTGTTGCAATCACTAGCGAAACGTCACAGTACTCAAATTGTAAATGTTGTGGGCTTACTCTCCAACACACCGGTGTGCTGAAGTAGTAAATAATTAAGCACGTAATGTTTACATGACAAACTTTACTAACTGGCTGTGTCGGGTGGTTGCGGGTTGAAGGACACATGAACATTTACGCGATCTAACCCAAAAAAAACCCTTCATATTGATCGCCTTGTATGTACGTTAAATTTCTTTTGCACCGTACGCAGCCATCCATGCGAATCGGATCTCTGCAACGGGATATGGCCGGCCTTAGCCGGTTACGTTCCAGCCTCTGCCAGGAGGGGCCGGTGTGATTTTAGCTTGAATGTACCTGGGCGTGACTCACCTCTCCCTGTGCGACATGGGCTTCATGTGGATGGGGTGGGGTGGCTTGGAAGGCATCGCTGCAGCCGGGGTGGGCTCCTCGGATGCCTGTCCCCTCTGTGCGCCACACGGACACACGCGCACACACACACACACACACCGTCATCACCACCACCAGCTCATCGTCCATCCGCCATGAGTGAGCATCACGTTATGGCTACGCTCATCACCCCTGGGTGCGTCTCCCCTGGCACTATCCCAGACGCGGAGCAAATTAGCCACCCACGAGCACCCCTACCATGGGACACGAACCAATCAAGCACTTGTCCTACCGCAAACCTAAAACACACAAGCACACCACATGCTAGACAAAACCACAATCACACGAGAGATCTACACCTTAGCCTTGGCCATAACAACATGCAACCACCGGCCCCATATCACTAACCCTGATCCAAACCACGTAAGCAAACTAGAGCATGGCATAACCCTAACCACACTCACCAACTTAACCGTAGCATAGAAGCCTATTACTGTCTGGCCCTTGCCAAACTAGCCATAACCATAAATACACGAACCAGCAAAACACCGGCGCAACCATTTAACTTACCCAAAGTAGCCAAACACGCCCCAGCGCTAACACCCAAGCTTAACCACACTCGCTAGCGAGACACCAAGTCCTACTCCCGCAACCACGAACCCGAATGGCTTTCCCCCCAGCCTCTGGGCCCTATCCCTACCCCAAAACCAAATTCCTATCTTCTTGGTTCTTTCGGTAAAGTCACGTAGAATGGAAATAATAAAATAATAAAAATAAAACATAATAAAATCATTCTCACGACGTTTCAGCCACAACGCAAGCAGCCGTCCTCAGGTGGAGAACAGGTCCGTCGAGAAGACAGTCTGAATGACTTGCGTTGTGGCTGAAACGTGGTGAGAATTATTTTATAATGTTTTATTTTTATTATTTTATTATTTCCATTCTACGTGACTTTACCGAAAGAACCAAGAAGATGAATCCCTGCAGTCACGAAAGCTTTAAATCGAAATCAAATTCCTATCCTCAATCTGCGGCTCTCCACCCTGCACCCCCCCCCTCCCCCATTTCACTCTTGGTTTGCTCATCGCTGCTGCCGATCGAGACGCCGCCAAAGCACGTACGCGCTTCTTGAGACGGTGCTTGGACTTGCGCCGCTGCTTGGGGCGGCTGCTGTGCTTCTTGGTGCCGCCGCCGCCACCTCCGCCGCCGCCGTTGCCGCCGCCGCCACCACCTCCGCCGCCGCCGTCGCCGCGACCGTGGCCGGGAGCTCGACCCAGCGCGCCGTTGAGGCGTTGGCTGCGTCCACCGATGATGCCGCGGCAAACCTCCGAGCCGCAGTTGCACGTTTGCTGTGGGAAGCGATACACGGGGAGTGTTCAGTGGAGCACGGTGGACGATGGGCGACGATACAGACTCACTTGTTAGTGATAAATCACCATTTTGCGACCCCCACTGCCACTGTGTAGCATATTATTACGTGCCAGGGACTCTATGAGATGATAGGACAATAGTCCGAGTCCAAAATTGGCAATAAGTAACGGCAAAGCAGTTATAAGTGACTCACAGAATTGTGCGCAGTTGCGTATACAGCGAGCGCGATGCCGATCACACAACGCGGTTCAAATTCGACCCTCGATCGATGGCTGCGCCATCGCCGCACATGCGTCGAATAAAAAGCAAGGGACAAGTCCTTACTTCCTAACAACTCCTATCATTTTTCATTGCTGAAAATCCTGGCTCTGCCATTGGATGGTCTCGAGTCAGCGGTGGAAACTCCGCATTGCTATTGCTGCCCCAAAAGCGTTACACACTTAAATTTCGATTTAAAGCTTTCGTGACTGCAGGGATTCATCTTCTTGGTTCTTTCGGTAAAGTCACGTAGAAGGGAAATAATAAAATAATAAAAATAAAACATAATAAAATTATTCTCACGACGTTTCGAACACAACGCAAGCAGCCGTCCTCAGGTGAAGACCAGGTCTGTCGACAGACTTATTTTATTATGTTAAATTTTTATTATTTTATTATTTCCCTTCTACGTGACTTGACCGAAAGAACCAAGAAGACGTTACACACTTATTTTAATCAACCCTGAAAATATTATGGGGGCCACAGCGTCCTGGACTGGAAAAACACGCGATCCACAGACTCAAGAAGGCGTCTCGACACAATAGTGGAAGGCGCCTTACACATAAATGTCAATTATTACCAATTAATTATTATTATTAAGCAGCATGTGACGTTTCAGCAGCCCGCCCCCATTGGTTTGATGACTTGCGACGATTTGGGGTGATGATTAAGAGAAAAGAAAAGAGATACATTTTCAGTGCATTGTGAGTTTTATTTCACCAAAAATGTGCCCGAATCTTGAGGGAGGGAGGGAGGGGACTGACCTGCTTCTCCAGGTTGAAGGCGTGGAAGTTGTAGTCGTATGTGAGCTCCGTGGCGGCCGGAATGTCGGTCAGAGCGAACAGGCCGATCTTGTACACGCCGTTCACGGACCTGTGGAAGGGATAGGGCAGGGGGAGATGCTTACATCGCGACCCGCCATCAACACAATGGCATAACGTATGCGACTTTTCCGAGCACTCTCCGCCAGAGGTCGTAAACGGGTTTTGATTCCTTACCCGTACCCGTACCCGGCCGCACCAGGGTCGCGAACGGGTACCCGTACCCAGCCGTACCTGTACCCTACCCGTACCCGGCCGGGTACGGGTATCGGGTACCCGATTGCGACCTCTGGGATGAAGCCATGTTGCAGGCGCCGGTGGGTTGATTCTAGGAACTTGAATTGTGAGAAGAGACAAGACGTTGGGAAATGAGTGACAAACGGTTACTCACCAGTGACTCACGGCCTACCCGTACCCGGCCGCACCAGGGTCGCAAACGGGTACCCGTACCCGGCCGGGTACGGGTAGCCGGGTATCGGGTAGGGTACGGGTATCAGGGACCCGGTTGCGACCTCTGCTCTCCGCTCTTGCCTAAAACTCAGTGGTATGGCACCCCCCCCCAACCCTCCGCCAGCTTGAATAACACAAGGTTACCACGTTCATGCCTCCAGCAAACGCGGTGTTTAGCGAGGCGTTACATTCACGTTGTGTATTAAGAATTATTTGTCGGTGCCGATGTTCCCGGCGCACATTCCAAACATGTTTCCCACGTGGCCGTCCGTGCCACGGGCCACGCTTCCCCTGCAGGAAGCCACACCCCCCGGCCACACGGTCGTGTCGGCGTATTACGGCGGCACGATTTTTTGTGTTTGGTTTCTTGTCCTTAACTCCCCCACGCCCAGCGTCTCCGATTCGTTCCGTTGACGACGTATGGTGCGGGAAAGACGTTCACAAAATATATACGTACAAACATGTCATCCAATTTTCGATTTAAAGCTTTCGTGACTGCAGGGATTCATCTTCTTGGTTCTTTCGGTAAAGTCACGTAGAAGAGAAATAATAAAAATAAAACATTATAAAATACAATTCTCACGACGTTTTGGCCACAACGCAAGAACAGGTCTGTCGCAAACTCATTCAGACGCTGTCTTTCCGACAGACCTGTTCTTCACCTGAGGACGGCTGCTTGCGTTGTGGCCGAAACGTGAGAATTGTATTTTATTATGTTTAATTTTTATTATTTCCCTTCTACGTGACTTTACCGAAAGAACCAAGAAGATGTCATCCAATATCACAGAATTATATTTAGACGGCAGGTGGAGAGCGAGGTCGATAAAACTACAAACACGTTATTGATGACACACTGCGTAGGAGAAGGGCGGATGCGACCGATCCCTGCGGGGGGCGCTAACGTGGCCGTCCGCGCGTCCTGACGTGCTGCCGGCAGCGCCTACCACTTCTGCATCTCGCAGTTGGGCTGGCAGCTGTGGTTCACGAAGCGCGCCTCGTTGCCCATGCGGTAGCTGTCGATGACCATGCCGCTGTCGAGGTTCAGGCAGTAGTGGTCACTGTGGTTCTGGTATTGCTCAATCATGCGGTTCCTGCGGACAGACAGACAGACAAAGAGGCGGGATGGGGGAAGGATATTGTTTGGCTCAGCACGGGCCAGGCAGGCGTGGCTTGGGTGCGGGGGGGAGGTTAGGAATTTGGGACGCTGGGTCAGACATGGGGGGCGGGGGGGGGGGTCGCAAGGGCTGAAGGTCAGAGGTCACCATCGAGACACTGCTCTGCTGTCAGCAGGGGTGAAGAGGGCTTATGTGTTTGTACCTCCTAGAGGTGTCACACGATGCCTTGGCTCGTCTATTAATGAGATTTTTCAAATCAGAAAAAAATTATTGAATTGTGCGATTTAGAACAAATGTTTTCCGATTCGTGTATGTTGTACGTTGCGAATAATTTTCACTACATTAAAAAGTAACCGTCTTTTACATTAATTGTATCATGTTGTAGAGGTTGCTATGAATTTTTACAACCGATTCTTCCGGATCTGTAAAACATGCTGCAACGGTTAGCATGACGTCATTACTACTGATCGCGATTGTAGCCGACGACGATGTCGTAATGGGCTTAGGTGAGCTCCAAATGGGTCCTGGAATCTGTGCTTGAACCCACCACACACGTGGGAGCCTGCATGTGTTAGCGGATGCGTGTGTGTGTGTGTGGTTTTGTGGGTTGGCATGTGGGTGGATAAGTGTGTCGATATGTGGGGTAAGTGGGTCAGTGTGCAAGAGTGTGGGCATGTGTGCGTGCGAGAGTGAAAAGCGTGGCTGAGAGCACGTGTGCGCGCGCGCGTGTGTGTGTGCGTGCGTATATGGGTTGCCAGATCAAATTAAATAATCCTCAAGGACCAATGCCTTCACATGAACTGCCTCCTTTTAAACCCAACACCAACCGAGAAAAACAATACCACAGGGACTCACTTGATTGTTTTTCATGCGTTCCCACTGCTTTACTGCTGGATTATCCACAACATATTGAAAATGTGCTTTAAATAAAACTAATAAACCAGAGAAAACCACTAACGTTCTTTCACATTGTAGTAACAATAATAATATATTAAAAAATCACATTCATACCGTTGCCTTTTGTCACAGAACCACTCAAAGGCACTTTAAAGCAACCCGAATCCTTCACAAATTGCGACCGATGACCCAGTCACCTTGCATACTCGGTCCCATCTGATCGCAGAAGCAAAGCAGGGCCAGCTACAAGACTACGGATCCTTCACGACCAAACAACCACACACGGTGCAACTCACACCGATTGATCCTTAAACAAAATATTCACTGCGCGTATCGTGGAGCTTAATGATCAATATTAATCAATGGATCGTTACACGCCTTAACCATACGCACAACTATCCTCTGTATAGCATGCATTGATAACACTGGTCAACACACGTTTTCTGGCATAAGGTATTCCAACGGTTTTAAGGTAATTTTGGGATGCTGATTCCAAATCTGGCATCAGTTTTTGTCTATCACATCAGGTTTTTGAGATATCAAATATTGCATTTTCAATAAAAACTGCAGAAGAAAAATATTTAATAAATGTGGATATCTACATAAAATGATATTATAAACACACTGACCTAAAAATACAGCGCCATATTTTAACACTAAAGCAGTCACTGACTCGCAACAACTTGCAATCATAAGTGACACAGTTAATTTCGGGTCAAATCAATGAAAATGGAGTATGCCGATAGCATAAAAATGAGATGTGATAGAGCAAATCTGAGATCCGATTTGAAATCAGCACCCTGAAATTAGTCTAAAACAGCTGCAAAAGTCCAGGCCAGAATTTTGTTTGTTTGTTGTTGACCAGTGTTATTGCTGGCACGGTGCATGGAGGCGTTGTGTGGCCAGGACCCACACTCGGCCGCCTTTGTCTCCCCAGTGCCAATGTTTACAAACCACACCAGGTACTCAAGTACGTCAGGTCCAGATATTCGTCACGGATGCAGGCCGCGAAAGGGGATCGAACCCAGGTCGCCGAGTTCGTAGCGCAGTGCACGACGAGCCACTTCCAACCAAACAGCTCTCCGATGCGTTTCTGCACCGTACCGCAAGCGTGCGTGCGTGTGCGCTGGTCTCACCGGAAGGTGTTCTCCGTGACCACCTCCCCCAGGTACTCGATGATGAACTGGCCCTCGCGGAGGCTCTCCTTGGTGCGGATGCCCCAGCCCTTGCCGTGAGTGCGGAAGCGTTCGAGGCACTGCACCCACTCGTGCCGCTGGATGCGCTGGTTGCTGCACTGGTCCCTGGTCGGGCACGTGCCCTGAGAGCACTCGGCGAAGATCATCCTGCGAAACAACAACCCAACAGCCGACCAACCAACCAACTAATTAACCGACCGACTAACTAACCGACTCATTAACTGACCACACTGGTAAAGGAGGTCTCATAGTGTAAATGCTTACCCCGAGCTCTCAATACTCTGATAGTGCGCTGTCTTTGAGTTGTACGCCTTTTGGCGTCATCTGGTCCAACACCAATGGAGACTAGGCTCTAAGAAAAGCTGTTTCGGGTGTGGACCAATCAACTTCAAGGACAGTGCATTTAATTATCATCATCAGAGTTGTTTCTTTTTGTTTGCATTTTGACTGTTTGTGTTGTGGTTATTGCAAACATGATGCCTTGTATAAAGGTGTGAGTTTTTGTACCAGTTGAAAGGGTAAAAACCTATTACTACTCATTAACTGACCGACAAACCAACAACCAGCCGGTGGTAATAATCAGCATCGTAATAATGTTTACTGCAAATACAGCGATCGATAATTATCTGGCGGCTTTGGGGGGGAAGGGGGCGCCAGATTTTCAAAAACGCCGGATAATCACATTATTAAAAATAGCTTATTTTTGCACATTCTTGTATAACATGTTGTTATGTGTTGTGTATGTGTGTTTTCAGTGTTTACATTTGTTCACTAGAGGAAATTGGTATAAATAAACATCGGCCCGGGACGGCTGGATAATGTTGAATTCCGGATAATCGCACGCTGGATAATTAATCGCTGATCAACTGAACCTTATGGCGGGCCCCCGGGAGGCCCACAGGCCCCCGGCTTTCGCATAAACTGCGTTGCGACGTCATTTTATGTCTGTTGAAGGTGAACGACACGGCAATCTATTCCTCTCGACGAGCTCGACGCTATGTGCTAATCAAAGTTTTGTTTCTTCTGCGCATGGACGACATAACAGAATGATCCGCACCAGGTGGGTCACGGCGCTTATGTGCGCGGTGGGACGGAGTCGCCAAACATAAAAAAATTATTTACGATTTTGACTTCCGTTTATTCGGGACCACGGGGTTCCGCCATAAGGTTCAACTGTATACAGCCCCTTTGTAATTCAATCTACTGCCGGACCAAGACCTCCCCATCTCATGTCAGTTAAGAGGTTTGACCATACTTCACTAAATTAACTACCGAGTGTATCGACAGCGGAAGAGATTGCGAGACAAAGTCAAAGAACTCAAAGGCCACGACTGGACCGGGACAACTAAAGAATGGAGGTAGGACGTTGCTCAGCAATAGCAAGTTACAGGCCGAAAACAATGACAACACTAATCCGGCTACCCAATCCTTTTCCCTACTCATCCCAGATCCCTCCACTCCCCCTCACCAATTTTGCTGCTGCCACCCTACAATTCCCCACGCCCTTCCCAGCTGCTCTTCCCATCTCTCCCGGTTTCTCACGTTACCCATGCATCACCAGGTCCCGCCGTTCTCACATATCTCCACTGTTAACCCCCCTGGGCAAGGCGCCCGTTGATTTCCAGGACACCCATGTCGGCCACGCACTGCCCCCAGCAACCCGGACTGCCCCCCACCCCCATTGCCCATCCCCACTAGGACTGCCCCCGGGCCGGCATTGCTGCCCCCCCTGCTATAAGCACCTGTTGAGGCAGTCTTCGACGCAGCCGTTGCGCGAGCGGATGGCGCCGACCTCGGCCTCGGGCATCTTGCAGTTGCACGTCGTCGGCTCGCAGCCCGACAGGGGCTTCACGTCCACGTGCACATCTGTGGGGCGTGCGAGACGGCCAGCTGTTACCACGTCATCACCAACGTCGTCGTCGTCGTCGTCGCCATCGGCAACACGAGTGGCGGGTTAAGGGGGGCTACCGAGCGTGGTCAGTACCTGGCGCGGGATAATTCCTGCGCTGGGCATGCCAGGCACACGGACATTTGACCATGACAAAGCGCGTTAACTCACTGGAGCGAATCCTCTTGTAGAGTGGGACATCCGGCTTCTTGTAGAGCTGCAATCAAAACAAAAAGAAAAATAAACTTAGAAGCATGAAAAAGGCGAATTGTTATTCGCGTACGATTTATTTAGAGCCCTCTGTACATATCCACCGCTGAATGAAGGACTCTCCACACCGTGTCAGTCGTGGCGGTTGTTTGATCGTACGCCGGGAAGTACGGATTGTTGCGGGACCGCCCCAAACACCGCTCGCCCCCGACATGAGTCACGGTTGGGAATCGAACCTACGTCGGCAGGTTCACAAAGCACCACTGCTCCATCCCAATTTACGTATAATAATATTCATATATTTAGTTCTTTGCTTTTCAATGCATGCCCGATTCCTTTTCCATCAAAATGATAATGCAAAACAAATAAGCACTCGGGCGCGCGTGCAGCGCACACGGACAATTTTCACCGACAACGGCTGAGATTCATGAATTGTGCGCGGCGGCGGTGGCGACGACGGGGAGGGTGGGGCAGGGGGTGGTGGCGGCAGGAAAAACAACCCTGCCCCGCGCTTGAACCGCGCAGCCTGGCGGCAAAACAGACAACGAACACCGCGCTGAATTATTTAAGGAATGGCGGTGTGTGCGGCCGGGGAACCAGATGGCCGGGAGAGGCGGGAGGGAAGGGGCAGTCTGGCCGGTCGATGAAAACCCACATCTCTCGGGGCTTATAGAGCAAAACAATATTCACGCGCCCTGTGGCCCCGCCGGCGAGCCACTTCCCATGCGTAGACGACAGGGCCTTGTCGTGATTCCCAGAGGGCCTCTGCCGCTACATCGCGGCGTCGGGGCGACCGTGCCGTCGTAGCGTGCCTTATCTATCCCGATGCGTTTTTCGGGGCGGGGGGAGGAGGAGGAGTTACGCCGCATGTTGTTGGGAAACAACGACGAACGTCTCGCTCCGCGTGCCAGCAGGCGTCTTCAGGAACTGAACCTGGGCTCAATTGAGTTCCTAAAGAAAGGTCGCAGGAGGACGTGAGGCGAAATCGTCGGGCATCGTGCATGTACAACGCGTGGTACAAACCCCGAACGTGCATCGGAGAGCTGTGTGGCAAGGCCACAAAAGCGTCCGGCGGTTGCGTGGTGTTTGATGCGATTAGAGTTTCTCGACTCACTCCCGCGTGATCGATGCCCGACACTGAAGGGAAAGTAAAGATCTGAATTTTGAGGAAGCTCGTGGGAGCTGTGGTGCACCATTCGCAGTGGGATATTTTATTCCACTGTTGCGAAACCAACAAGGGCTGAGCGTGTCTGCTCACACGAGTGTGGGGTGGGGTGTTCATCTCCCTTGGCGGCTAGGTCGAAATTCCATATTTCTTCTGGTGGGGGTTGGCGTTTTTGTTTTCACGTGACCGAAAGTGGTGCTCGCTTTATAAAGTCAGCTAAGGGAGAGGATGGACTGAGCGGACGTCAAACGCGGTTTTGCCGAAACGCTCCCCCGCACGTCAAAGCCAAACAGTCGGCCACCATGCCGGACGGTGCAGGCGCTGTAACAAACTCCCGAAAACACCCCAAAATGAAACCATCCGCTGGCTAAGTCTTTTCAAGAAAGACATGTCTACATGTTACCGTTCATCGATTCATACGCACAACAACAAAAAATTCCCAGGGCGCAAATGTCTGCGCTGGTGTGCAAACTTCGTTTCAACGAGACCTACAGCAGCAAAAATAAAAACCAGCTTGAGGAAAGGCCCCCCCCCTTCATTGAGGCGAGAGAAGTTCTGCGTCACATCCGCGCTATGGGGAATTTCACGTAAAAAAAAAAAACGGAGGAAGAGAGATGCCACCCACCCACCCCTGCACGCACGCCCCCCTTTCCCTGCAGCACTCACGCAGCCCCCCCACCTCCTCGCCGCATCCGGCTCAGCTAAGTAGCCCCCCCCTCCCCCCCCCCACCACAACGTCCACCCCGCTCCCCACCTCTCCCTTCAACCGTGTCTTTTATGGCAAAATCTAATCCATTCCCACTCGAGGCTCGAAGCAGATGTGCCAGATTGCAGTGTTTACATTTGCGTGGAGTGCCTCTCTCTTCCACCGCGTTGGATGCTCAGTTGCACGAAATGCAAAATGGGGAAAGCATGGCTTTGTGGGGTGAAGGGCTTTAAAGTTTAATGTCACTCACTGGGACCGCCCCCCCCAGTGTGATGCGACGATGAGTTGTTGTCAGGATTAGATTCCAGAATCGATCCTTTTTTGTCCCGCTCAATCGTACCATTCGTCTCTTCTTTACTGCCTTTCATACGTCCGTTTCCTTTGCAAAGTCTCATTGTTGCTGGTTTGCACATTTGCACTTGCTATCATCTATACCATTATTATTATCAGCATTGTTGACCCAGGAAAACCTCAACGAGTGTCGACATTTTTTTTTCTACCCAGGAGGGCCCTGCCAAGTTTTGGCAATACGTGAAGATGTTGCTATCGATGTGCCAAATTGGTATATTTGCGGGGTAATTTTAGAATTGGCTAATTTGGATCCCAACGCTGGAACTTGACGGCCTACTCTCGCAAAAGGATGTCAACGTTTCACGTCCACCGTGAACCGGAGGTCCGCCCGGTATCATCAAGGTTGTTACACCCGCGGCAAAAACCAGGGTGGCCACCGGATTCTTACCGCGGAGCTCAGCTGCTGCTGCGAGGCCACATCACCGCCAGCCAAGCAGAGCTCTGGCCACAGGTCACCGGAAACACCGGGCCCCGGGACTTAAAGCAGAGAGCATCGGTCGCCGTAAATCAGGGCGAGTTTTACTTTCCCCCCTGCCCAGACGTGGCCCTAAATCCTGCGAGCCTGCCTCTAGAGCCCCCCCACCCCCCCAGCCACCAGCGATAGGCTTTCACTCAGAGAAGTGGCAGGGAGAGGAAGAGACTTTTTTTTCTTAACGCTCGTAATGCCGGCTGGACTCCTCTCTCGCTTGCTCTCCCGCCCGCAACGCCCCAGGGCTGCGGTGAATCACCGCCACTACTCCCCGCAGTGGCCTGGCGAGTATGAAATGACCCAAGCTTATCTCCAAAACCCACCCACTCGCTCACTCGCTCACTCATCCAGCCATTCACCCCACCCACCCACCCAGCTTCCCAACCGCTCGCTCTCATTCGCCAACTCGCTCATTCACCCACGCAGCCAAGCACCCCAAGGAAGCACCCGCCGCTGACCGCCGCCGCCGCAGTGACCGAGACGGCACGAAGCGCACGCCTACGGACGCCCAAACACTCACTAAATCACGAGCGCCTCGCCTCCCGCTCGTTAGCGGTCAATCACGGCAGCGAGATCCACCCGATGCCTGCAAGTCTCGTTGGATCCCTAAGCTATTGAGACTCGAAGACAAGACGGTGCATTATTGTGCGTCGCCGGGTCTCTGTTGCACTCTTTAAGAATATATCACCTTTGCATGCGTGTATTAAAGATAAGGACGCAGCCCTGCAATTGCTTGCTCATGACCACTGTTGGTCAAAAGGCTGGCTGAGACGTCTTAGAAGGGGTGGGAGCACCCACACCTAATCCCACTGCATCGACCGTGGAGTTCCCATTCATACCGCAGAGCAGACAGAGTTGGGGGGTGAATTATGAAATATTGTTTAGTCTAATGGAACAAAGCATGATAGAACAAACAAAACAAGCCAGAACAAACCAGATGTAACAAATGAGAATCCGATCATTACGTGGATATAAATGCCTACTTATGAAGTAACTCTTGCTCTTTCACCTGTTCATTGTTAGACTCAATACAAATTTCACAGATAAAGGGTCATTATCATTATGGTAATACACCCCAGACACATGGAGAGTAGCAAGTTTAAAGTAATATAGAACCCAGAAATACCTACAGGCCTTGTCTTGTAGATGTTTACCTGGGTTGTTCATTTACTTAAACCGGGCTGTCCAACTTGATTTCTAAGTTTCATTACCGCAAGAACATCATCGCGGGACGACCGCCATATCTCGTGAAATATCACCGCAATGACGTCAACGACGTCGCTGTTGCCAGAGCAACAATGAGCTGTAATTATTTTTTTTTCTCTGTGTGCCTATGTTTGTCTCTCTCTATGTATCTCTGTGATATCTGTCTGCTTATATGTCTGTCTATATGTCTCTGGTTCTGTGTTTTATCTCTCTCTCAAATTTAGCATTCTCAGGAAGAACGTAATCAACCAGGTAGGGTGTTTGACTGTTATGTTATCCGACTCTCTGTTGTATTACATTACATTTCTAAGTATACTAGATTTGTGTTTCTATTTCATTTATACCTGATGATGATTGCTTGTGTTGCAATGGAAACGTCGTATGCTAGTATTTAATTTATTATTTTCTCTTTATACGTGACTTTACCGAAAGAACCAAAGAGTAATTCCTGCAGTCACGAAAGCTCCAAATTAAGTTTAAATGTTTTTGTTTGTCTGTAACAAACGAGAGTGCAGCTATCAGAGAAGAGAGCTCCCTTGGCTTCTCCAAGTCGAGTGTTCCTCGCACGGCCGACGCTCACCTGATTGTGTTTCCACTGCCACAGGATGTCGTACGAGAGCTGGAAGTCAATCCTCTTCTGGCGGAGATATTTCCCTGCACGACGCGGGAGACGGACAGACAGGGAGGACACATCAGCACGCCGCGAGTCGCACCGCCTCTGCGCGTTGCCGGATAAATAAACGGTAGTACACGAGGTTGCGAAACCTCACAGGTGCACGTTTCTTTACAAGATCTTATAAATCAAGTGTCGGAACCATCTTTTTAGTTGTGGGTTTTCTGGAGAGGTGGAATGGCGCGAGTCAGTGGCTGCGAAGAGAAACTTTAGCGGTGCACATCTCTTTACGTGCCCAATCAGGTGGAGTACGGGCACACACACAGAGATACAAAGACACATACAGACACAGATATACACACACAGACACACACGAAGATACACACACACGGAGATACACACAGACATACACACCCGGAGATAGACACACAGACACACAAATACACACAGACACGGAGATACACAGACACGGAGATACACACACACGGACACACACAGACGCATGGCTAAAGAGTGCGGATCAACTTCTACCTTCTGACACCAACCCAAGGGATCTCTCCTGACACCCACAACACCCAAGGGAGCTCCCCACCTCCCATCCCTCACTCTTCTTGACAGGGACTCACACCGATGCACGCAGGAGTTGTGCGACCGTCACCTCGGCCTTCTCCACCAACAAAGTTCCTTGATGGTCAAAAAAGTTAATTATCCGATAACTACTTCAATGGGGGAGTGGTGGCACAATGGTGTAGCACATGAACCAGGCGGCTTGAGCTCGATTACTGCCCATGGGTAATTTATCCCCGCCCCCCCCCCCCTTTCACCAACTTATGTTGACCAGTGTGGTCAAGTATGGTAAAAAAAAATCCCCGCAAATTATGACAACGGTGGATGGATCCATGCATTATTTTATCATAAAAAACTAAAATTGCATAAAAAATATCCATTTGTCAAAGGAGACCTGGGTTAAACAATTTGGCTTCAACACTGAAAGATTGGTCTCTCTGCACAGCGGTACTTGGCCGCAAAACTAACTTTAAACTGAAGACAAGAATAAGTCAACCTCTCCCCGCAACCGACCTCCTCAGCCAATGTCTATCCGACCCTCTTCACAAAACGGGCCTTTCATAGCCACGTCGCCCACACACCTGTCGTGCAACAACAAGAACAGCAGGTGCTCCACGATTTGGACCGGTCCATTTTGACGTTCAAAGCGGGGGTGGTGGCGGCGGGTAGCCACCGTCAAAGAGACTGAAGCCAAGCATATTGCCAAGGGTGAAAGGATACGCGTCCACAAATGGTAGCCTTATGCTGACCGGCAAGCCATTAGATTATTTTCGTGGCGGAATTGCAACACGGTACGCGAAGGTTAAAATAATACGGCGAGCTGCAAAATGATGGCGAGTTCGCGCCCGTGCCTCCCTCCGCGGAGAGACGCGCGTCTGCACAAAGGGCCGGTTTTTGTCGCGCTAAGCGGGACGGCGATGACGGCCGGGCCCCGACGCTCGCCTGCTGGGCGGCTCGTGAAATCGGAGATGAAACGAGGCTGAGAAAACAGGTCTCTCCGAGCCAACAAGACGCCCCTCTCTTCTCCTCCACCGCTCGCGCGCCAACTCTCCCATCACCAGCCAAACCCACCCCCCCCCACCACCACCACCCTACCGCCTCTTCCCATGGTCGAGTGACGACCGAGCGAACGGCTGTGGCGTTGGCAGCTGTGCCAAGCGGCCCAATGATGGAAATTTTCAAGCAACAATAATTATAGAAATATAAAATAAAGATATACTAAAATCTCAGGACCCCACCATTGTTCCACAACGCACAGGAAGGAGAGGTGGGACAAAATAAATAAATAAAAATCCTAACAAACATTTTTTTGGGAGCCGTGTGCATGACAAAAAAATAAATATAAATGTATGTGAACCGGATATTTTTTTTGTTTTTGAAGGTCTTAAACATCCCAGAGGCCTGCCTGGGATGGCGCCCACATTCCATCTGCTTCTCATTTGCCCGTTCGGCCTCTCGGCCAGCCGCCGCACACACACCGCACGCACACACACGCACAAACACTCACACACGTGTGCGTGCACACTGTAATTACACTTGGAATGTTTACCGTGTGGTTTTTATTTTAGCTCCCTGCCACGGTTCCACGTTTATTTATTTAAATATATTCGGCAAAGGGCTCGCTTTCTTTTTACTTACAGTCGGATGACAACCGCGAACTGCGCTTTTCAACTCGGCGGAGGGATTCGACGAGACTCGTCCGTTTCATCGATTGTACGGTTTGCGGTGGCGCAGTTATCGAAATAAAATAGACGTCCATTATCGTGCAAGCAACGGTTGTCTTATGGATGAACCTGCCCCTGATACGGACACTGATCCCAGCCATAAGAAACTCAAAACGGTCTTTCTGCACGACATCCCATGTCCCGATAGGAATTGCAAACAGTTATTGAACTTAATTCTAGATTTGAAGCTTTCGTGACTGCAAGGATTCATATTCTTAGGTTTTTTCGGTAAAGTCACGTAGGTAAAAAATTTAAATTAATAAAAGTAAATTAAAAAAAATTAAAAAATCACGACGTTTCGGAGGTAACACAAGCTTCCGTCTTCAGGTGGAACCGTCACAGCACGATAGCTGTATCAACAGTTATTGAACTACTAGCGGACGACAGCATCGACACAGAACCGTAGACAGGTACGCACCTCATCCCCCCCCCAGCTCTTTTGAGCAGGTAACCCCACACCTTCGTACCTGTCAAGGGCACACTTCGTTGAGTTTGCACGAGCGATGTCGATGTTGTTTAGTCGTTACGGCGAGAGAAGGGTTTGTGTGGTGGTGGTGGTTGATGCGTGCGCGAGTTGATTAGTGGGGAGCGGTGGTGTAGCGGTTAGCGCTACAAACCCATAACGTGTCATCCCACAACGGTTTACCCCGTATTCTTGTACAGGGAAATTGAGCTTTCAGGTCCATACGGCGTACAGCAGTTTCAAAGCGGCCAATATTTTATTTTGGTCTATTTGTTTTTTTTTTTGCGATGGGACTTTGTAGGAAGACTGTTGAGATGTATAAGGGGCACGGGGTGACCAATAAGGTCTGAATTGGTCTGTAATAAGGTAGGGCACTCATAAGGGGTTGACAGGCATGCCACTTTGATTTTGATATATTTCACGGAAAACTTCACTACAACGCCTCCACACATGTACAGGCCATTCATTGATCCACTGCTGAACGAGGGCCTCCCCCCCACACACCTTTCGGGCCATCGGTGGTTATCTCACCGGACTTCATTACGCCGGTTCGGTAGCATTGGTGAAGGTGGGGAGCATTCAATTAAGAGAACAAACAATGGATGTTGCCGTGCTGCTTTCTGCTGCACAACACATAACCCCCATACCGCCCCCCTCCCCAAGCACCCTGCTGCAGCTGATAACACCTGCGATGTCTGACTGTCGCCTGTTCACGCACTCTCTGCAAGGGGCTCAGTCCCTACTCAACCTCCCAGACCTGCCGAGGTGGAACGCACGCATTCCACGTGCTTTGGTGCACGGACACAATTAAAAAGCAGCAACTATTCAAGCTCGTGAGAGAAATGCAGCTGCTGCTGGGTTTACCAGCTATTAAAGGCAAGAAGCAAAATGCATATTTTTGGTTCTTTCGGTAAAGTCACGTAGAAGGGAAATAATAAAATAAGAAAAATAAAACATAATCAAATAAAATGTCTTATTTTTATTATTTTATTATTTCCCTTCTACGTGCCTTTACCGAAAAAACCAAGAAGATGAATCCCTGCAGTCACGAAAGAAGCTTTAAATCGAAAAAGCAAAATGCATCTTAACGACGAGGCCCTGTTCAGTGCAAAGAGCGTTATTGCATTAAAAATAAAACATTACGTGATGTCACGGACGATACGAGTGCGATTTAGCCTTCCAGATGAGTGTGAATCATTACCCCCCCCCCCCACGCACTCCCACCCGGGGCGATTGCTCCGCTCACCAACGTGGATGGGCGCTGGCAGGAGGCTGTGGTCGTGCTCTCCAGGAACGTACTCTAGCTTCTCCTTCTTGGATAAGCTCAGCCGGCTTTTGACGCTGCAGAAGGGGGAAAAAATTACGCGCAACGGTTACGAGAGCGTGAGCTTACATTGGCCGTTCATTAACTGTGAGCATTGGAGACTTCCATTGATGACGAGGATCCTTCCCTGTTGCCGATTTTGGGCCTTGCTATATAACAATGGTATTAACTGGTTTTCGGATTACATTTATAATACAATCTGTTTGCCCATCTTGGTCTCTGTATACCTTGGTTCCTTTTTCCTTCCACTTTACCAAACACCAACAAGTTTCCCCAGGTTATCCCCCGTCATGCCGAGCCACGTGTCTGAAATATTTCATTTTGTACATCGGTTAAAAGTATAACTCTTACTCTTCATAGTCGCAATTCCGTACGAGTGAAATGAGACAGGGCAGACAGGAGAGCGCGTGTGGAGGGGAGTAGAGCGAGATGAGAGGGGAGAAAAAGGAGAGTGCGTGGAGGGGAGTAGAGTGAGATGAGAGGGGAGAGACAGGAGAGTGTGTGGAGGGGAGTAGAGTGAGATGAGAGGGGAGAGACAGGAGAGTGTGTGGAGGGGAGTAGAGTGAGATTAGAGGGGAGAGGCAGGAGAGTGTGTGGAGGGGAGTAGAGCGAGATGAGAGGGGAGAGGCAGGAGAGTGCGTGGAGGGGAGTAGAGTGAGATGAGAGGGGAGAGGTAGGAGAGTGCATGGAGGGGAGTAGAGTGAGATGAGAGGGGAGAGGTAGGAGAGTGCATGGAGGGGAGTAGAGTGAGATGAGAGGGGAGAGGCAGGAGAGTGCGTGGAGGGGAGTAGAGTGAGATGAGAGGGGAGAGATAGGAAAGTGCATGGAGGGGAGTAGAGTGAGATGAGAGGGGAGAGGTAGGAGAGTGTGTGGAGGGGAGTAGAGCGAGATGAAAGGGGAGAGGTAGGAGAGTGCGTGGAGGGGAGTAGAGTGAGATTAAGAGGAGAGAGACAGGAGCGTGTGTGGAGGGGAGTAGAGTGAGTGAGAGGTAGGGAGGCACAAATCTGTGAAGGATTCCGCAGACTGCGAGTGCTATCTTGACACTGCCGCCCCCCTTACTTGGGGTCCTTGTAGGTATCGGAGTAGAGCCCGGCCTTCTGATGCTTCTTCTTCGGCGGTCGATGAGGCTTCTTCTCCTTGGCTGGCGCTGGGGCTTGTGCTGCTCCTGCCGTCGGGGCGATCAATGCCGCCCCCGCCGGCGGCGGCGGCAACTCGCCCTCGCTGCGCTCCTCCCTCTGGTCACATGGGGCCTCCGGCGCCGCCCGCTGCTCATCCGGGGACTGGGCGGGCAGCGCTGGCGCTACGGTGGCCGTCGAAGGAGACGAGGCCGCGGCGGGGCACGGAGTTCGGTTCTGGGTGCAATCCGCCTCCGTACTGGCGGCCTGGCTGCAGCTGGTGTGATGCAATAGAAATATATATATACAGACGGCCAAACTCCTCTTATTTGTAAGTGCCCACCAACTATTGTCATCTGCAAAGGTATCCTTTCTTTTATCTGCATTTATATACATCTTAGGCTAACTTTGGCAACGACAAAACATTTGCATGTAATTTCACATAATTATAAGCAATCAACTGTCATGCGCAGAATACGATGCACGTAGCGCCGAGTGGAGAACCCATTTAAATCAGCAAAATGAATGCGTTGCAACAGGCCTAATGCGCCTGTGTGTACTGTGGCGTCACCTGGACTCCTCCACACCCGGCCTTTCCAGCGTCGCCTTCTTGCTCCTCTGCTCTTGGTCGCCGTCATATGGCGTCTCAGAGGCTGCCCGCCTCCGCTTCTGACCCCTGTTCTGCTGCTGCTGCTGTTGCTGCTGCTGTTGCTGCTGCTGCTGTTGCTGCTGCTGTTGTTGCTGCTGCTGTTGCTGCTGTTGTTGCTGCTGCTGTTGTTGCTGCTGTTGTTGCTGCTGCTGCTGTTGCTGCTGTTGTTGTTGTTGTTGCTGCTGCTGCTCCTGCTGTCGCTGCTGCTGTCGCTGCCGGCGGCTACCAGTAACTTCCTCATGCAGGCCCAACAGGGCAGCCTCTGTCCGTCTGAAGCGCCCCTCCGTGGGCGCGGGCCGATCTGGCCGCACGGGCCGATCTGGCCGTGCGGGCCGATCTGGCCGCACTGGCCGCCTCTCCGCCACTTCAGGCCAGCGCGGCCGCCCGTCCGTCGAGTCTGGCCGTTTCGACCTCCCTTCCTTGGCGTCCGGCCGCACGGTTCGCTCGTCCGTCGCGTCCGTTCGCTCCGTCCGCGCCTCCGGCGCTTCGGGCCGCGGCGGCCGCCCCTCGGCCCCCTTGGGCCACTGGGGCCGCCCCCCCACCTCCGCCAACTCCGGCCCGTCCTGCGGCTCCTGCTGGGATTCGGGCCGCTTGTGCCGCCCTTCCGACTCCTCCGGGCGGTGTCGCTGGCCCCTAGCGGCGGCCCGGGCCCGCCACTGGCGCCGCTTCCTCGGGCTCTGAGGCCTCCGCCGTCGCCGCTGCCTCGGGACGGCGGGTCTCGGCCGGTCGTGCCGTTCGGGGCCGTTCTGCACGACCGACTCGATGGCGTCGCTCACGGGGTCGGGCCTGTGGGCGCGGGAGACGCGCAGCGGCCTCCCTGTGCAGGCACCGCTCGGCGGTTTGGACGGCTCCTCCGCGGGGGCCACCGCCCTCCCTGCCTCGCCGTGTGATCCCACGCTCAGTGAACCTGAAAGGCAGGAACCCCAACAACTGTTGTTTTCCGAGCCCCGACGGGTGTTATTTAAACAGAAAAGTGCATGTGTGTGTGTGCGTACACACGAGGAGCCTCCTTTAGTCCATGCCAGTGTGGGTTGCGTGATTTGTTTAACCGTAATTCACCGCGCAGGTCAGTGCGGGTTGATAAAGGCGGGGGATCATACTTTCGGTAGCAGTACAGTACAACAATTAATTTGTCTGCACTCGCCTCTGATGCCCATCGCCTAGGTCCAAAGCCTATAACACCTGCTATGCAACGCTGGTCAAGCCAAGCCTGTCCCCCCCGCTTACCGCAACGATTCCCAAACGGCGTCAAGTTCGGCGGCAGCGACGGCGGCGGCGGCGGAGCAGGCAGGCATACGGCGCCCACGCCCACCGCGGCGCCCTGCGGGCCCTTGCGCGGTCGGCCCGGCCGCCGTTCGCACGGCACGTTGTTGCCCGTGCGCAGGGTGCGCTGCAGCTTCTTGGCGCGCAGGATGCGGCCCACGTGCACCAGGCCCCGCTTGGCGGCCTGCAGCCGCTCGAGGCCGAGCGCTGCGCGGCCCTCGCGCCTCGCCTGCCTCCGCATGGCTTCTGCCTCGCTGCGCTTGGTGCGGCCGACGACGACGACGCCGCCGCCACCGCCACCACCGCAGCAGTTGCCACCCCAGCTCGCCGCCGCCGCTGCCGCCATGCGGCCTGCGTTGCCGCCTCCGACACCGCCTCCGCAGCAGCTGCCGGACCTGCCAACGCCCGCAGCGGAGCCTGTCGGACGAATGGACGGCAGGACCGGTTAGCGCTGCAGGTGCCGGTGGCACTGCGGTTACGATAGCGGTTTCGGAGGCCACAATTAACGGGTGAGACTCTGCGAAGTTGAAACTGTTCCAAGGTTTTGCTTTACGGAGCTGTCGTGAGATTTTTGCGAGCGGAAGTGAAGGACAGCGCTTCTTTTAAATGCAGCTGAACCATATTTTGAGATCCAGCTCAGGCCCGTGATATCATTGTCTGGAGGTCTTCGCCTACCTGCACACTTTACTTACTTATAATGTTGCATGCACACAGAAACAGAAGCCAGACCTATATGGCAATCAAAGGCACAACTATATGACCCGAGTTCAATTCCTGACCACGGCTAACACGTCAGCCTATGAACTGCTTTTGGGCTTCCCCTTCACCAACCCACACTAAAAAGCTTGACGAGCTACAGTCAAACAACCCCAATGACCCATGTGGGGTGAGCAGGCGTTCACCCAATAGTGGATTAACGGCTGAGAATATTTTGCAACTGACGATAACATTGTGTAGCCGCTAGAAATTTAACCCTCGAGAAAACCGGCCAAATTTATCAAAGTCTTGCCCCAAAACAAAGCGATAAAAATCCAGCGCCAACGAGACTCATCATCTCGAGCCGTGCCATGACACCGTCGCTAACGTGCGGCTCGTTCACTAAAATACATCCGAGGCTAAACGCGCATTGGAAACCACTTACAAATTGCACGCGGACGCGCGATTCGTCTTCAACGGTTTACATTACAAGCAACAATAACGGCGGCAAGAACCTCACACACCACGACCCCCGCCCCCCCCCCTCACGCACGCGTGTTGGCTGTGACTGCCGCGGTGCCCCCCCCCACCCACCTGCTTCTCTGGAGCTATCCGACAGTGACCTCCTGCGACCACCGGCCATCGACGGGGCTCCATTGCCCAGCGGGCCGGCTCCTGGGGGCCAGCACCGCCCGGCACGGTCACGGTCACGGTCTCGCGCCGACAGGCCGACCATGCCTGCGTGCCAAACGATGCCAAAAAAACGTACGGTACCGGGTTGAACAAAACAATCATATACAATTTCGATTTACAGCTTTCGTGACTGCAGGGATTCATCTTCTTGGTTCTTTCGGTAAAGTCACGTAGAAGGGAAATAATAAAATAATAAAAAGTAAACATAATAAAATAATTCTCACGACGTTTCGGCCACAACGCAAGCAGCCGTCCTCAGGTGAAGACCAGGTCTTTCGGGGAGACAGCGTCATTCAGACGTTGTCTCCCCGACAGAGAATTATTTTATTATGTTTTATTTTTATTATTTTATTACTTCCCTTCTACGTGACTTTACCGGAAGAACCAAGAAGAATCATATACAATTACGTTAATTCATCCGTCGCTCCAAGTCGCGAGACAAAGTTACATTGGGACGTTTGGAAAAGTTCATTTTTTTTGGAGGAGCGTTTTTGTTTGTGCATGCAAGAAAAACCTGGGAAACAATGGAAGTGTAACAGCACAAGGGGGGGGGGGGCAAGGCTCAAAAAATTCTGCACGTAAGTGGCGCTCACGAACCCGCTCGTTTGAATGGCAACTCCTGACCCCCCCCCCCGTCACGGCCCAGAGGATTCTGGAGTTATACACCAGAGTCTTGCCTACGTGGGTTCATAATGGCCACCATTCAGACTCTGTCGCCTCGACGGACCTGGTTTTCACCTGAGGACGGCTGCTTGCGTTGTGGCCGAAACGTCGTGAGAATTATTTTATTATGTTTTATTTTTATTATTTTATTACTTCCCTTCTACGTGACTTTACCGAAAGAACCAAGAAAATGGCCACCACGGCAAAGGATTGAGACGGTGTCAAAACTTTTTCACGATAACCCCTCTGGTCCACGTGTGTGGTGCGGGTGGGAGGGCGATTGACCAATTTCTGCCTGGAGCAGGGGGCCATGGATGAGTGGCGCCTACAGCAGGGGCCATAGATGAGTGGAGCCGTCAAGCACCGCAGAAGCACGTAGCCGAGATTAATTCCTCAAATAACTTCCTGCTTTGCGGCCAAAGGGGGTGACCGCACGGGGCCGCGCCGCTGTCAAGTGGGCTGTTAAAGGAAGAGCGACGGCCTCTAACCCAAACCCCGTCCCCCTCCACCTCATCACCGGCACCGTCCACACAAACGAAACGGCGGCTCCCACAGACAGAACCACTTCTCCACGCCCGGCTCCTTCTCTCTCAGCGGCTCCCCCTCCCACCCCACCTTATCTCATGCCCTCCGCACGACACACTCCCCCCCCACCCCACCTCGCACCACCCTCCCAACAACGCCACCCACGATTGTTCAACGCTCTCGCTTCCCCCCCGCGTTTGCGTAAGGAACAGGGCGTCCTCAGCGACACTATTCCTTCCCCTTCCCCGGCTGTCAAAATAAACGAACGCGAATTGAGGGCGGGCGGGCGGGTCAGCCAGGGAGCGTTATGATGCGGTTTGCCGACTGGTGGTGTGGGTTTGGCGAAGAGGTTGGTTAGTGGCAGAGTGATGTTTCTTTAAGGTCCCAGGGCTGGGTATTTTTCTCCTCCCCAAACCCACACATTGTTACCAGAAACAGACACTTAAAGTACTGTATTAAGTGACGTAAATAATTGCCGTCCTCGTGTGTCCATCTCGGAGCGTTGAATTTCATTCAGAGCAATGCTATTCTGAAGGCACCCCACTCCCCCCCCACACCCGGAGCTTTCCACATAAGCTCCGCACCCTTATCAACTACACAGGCGCATTATTATTGAGTGCAAGTGCGAGCGAACGTCTCATGTCGGTGCTTTGCGTACGCATGCAAGCCAGGACATGTGCGTGTGTGTGTGGGGGGTCAACAGTGGGGAGCGGCGGGTGTAGCGGTTAGCGCACCCGCGCTACAAACCCCGGCGACGCGAGTTTCGATTCCCGCTCACGGCCAACACCAGAACCGGTTCAGATAATTGTCACTGGACTTCCCAGAGGTCGACTCAGCCTCAAATGAGTACCTGGTGCAGTGCGTAAACATCGCCACTGGAGAGAAAAAGGCGGCCGGGCGTGGAGCTGGCCATCCTCTCGTGTGCCGTTCCGGCCTTCACAGGTGTTACTCGCTAACAGCACTTGCCCCAACAGTCTGTTAAGGCTATACGGGGGATCTTTGTTTTGGGGGATGTGAGCAACCAGCTCTGGTTGTGTTGACACTCGACAGCATTCGGTGCAAGGACTTGCGTGTGTGTGTGTGTGCACATGCTTGTGTGTGTGTTGGGGAGTGTGCATGCGTTAGTGGAGTGTGTAATGAGTGCGTTGTGTGCGTGTTGTAGTGGTGAGTGGCGGTGCACTGTTTAGCGCGCTGCTCTATGAACCTGGTGACCCGACTTCGATATCCCGCTCATGACCAATAACAGTGGCAAATATTTGAAATGTTCCTGGGCCTCCGCTAGGTCATCTCAGCCTTCAATGAATACCTTCTGCGGTGTGTATACATCAGCAATGGGGAGACAAAGGCTGCCGGGCATGGTGTTCGCCACCCACCCCCTCGTATGCCGTGTCGCCCTTCAGGAGGTGCTAATGGCACTAAAGGGGAGATCCGTCTTTGTTGATGAGTGGGCAGTGATGGTGTAGCGAATAATATTTAGCATTGGTCCTGGGCCTCCTCTAGGTTGACCGAGCCGGAAAATAGTTGCGCGACCCGTGTGAAAGCTTCAGGATAGGGGAGAGAAAGGGCAGCTAGTTGCGATACCGGTCACACGACCTCCTCCTGTGCCATTGCAGGTTCTAACAGCTGCTCCCCAACAAAACTTGCCTCGACTTGCGCAACGAGGGGGGGGGGATGGCGACGACTTTATTATTTAACGAGCGATTTATGTTCGTGCAACACTTTCTATTTCTCGTGACAAAGTTGTCGTTATGTTGAGATTGCAAGCCGTTGCCTCTCGTTGCTCTTAACTTTATTTTGGTTTCACGCCTTTGGAACTTCTTGGTGGTCCAGTTTACCCAGGTGTCTCGCCTGATTAAACAACGTAAACTTTAAGACCGTGTAGGCCATACTGGGGCACTTGTGTTTTATGTGTGTGTTTACATTAATATTTACTGCTGCATGTATGTATATGTTCAAGTCCTTTTAGCACCGTACGTAGCCAACCGTGTTAATCGGAGGCGCAGGGGAAGGACAAACTAACGCGCAAAAAGCAGTTCTAAAGAAATTAGTCTGTCAATGTAGATCATTTAAAAGCTGCAAAGTGGCTTCCTAATATCGGAAGAGCGTTACCAGATGGCCGCAGAAGGACATCTAAAAGCGCGCGAAGCGTTGACCGTCTTTGTTCGACGGCCAGCCAACAAACTGCCGCTGTGAGGATGACCGGAATTAGAATTCTGATGGTTTATACATTTATGGCGATCACCCCCCCCTCCCTCGTTGTTAACCAGGTCGGTGGACGAGGTGCATCCGTTAGTCATTCATCTCAATCAGTCAACCCATAACACCTGGGTCTGTCCCGTGACCTCCTGTCAGGGATGCCTTCAACACTTCAAATTGCCTAAAAAGTGCACCTAGCCTGGCACAAGCGCTGTGGAGACGTCGCCGCCACTAAGAGGAGAATGGCGGCTGTTGTTGTTCTTCTTCTTATGTATGCTTATGCAACTGTGTGTATGCATGTGTGTGTGCGTGCAGTAGTGTGTTTGCAGTAGTGTAGCGGTTAGCACACTGCGCTACGAACACAGCGATTAGTTCGATTCTCGCTCGCGGCCATCAACACCGGTGACGATTAATCCGAACCAGTCCTGGGCCTCCCCTAGGCCGACTCGGCCTCAAATCAGTACTTGGTGTGGTGTGCATACCTCACCACTCGGGAGACAAAGGCGGCCGGGCGTGGTGATGGCCACCCAGCCCTGAATGTGCTGTGCTTGCTAACAGCACTTGCCCCAAAAGTCACCGAAGGCTATACGGGGGATCTTTGTCTTTGTGAGTGTGTGTTGTTGCTGCTGCCACCCACACAAAAGAACAAATGCTGCCTTGCCGGTTAGTCCAGTCCACCGAGGGGGGTTGGCCCTCATCTCGCTCTCTGTGTCCCTCTCTCTCTCTGCTTCTCCCCGTGGACAAAGTCAATGAACCAAACTCTAAACAAACACTGCCCTTCCTCCATTAATGCCATCTGCCAAATGCCACACATTCTTTTTTTTCTCTCTCTCTCTGCCAGATTGAGACTCACACGCGCGGCGTTGATTCCCCTTGCTCCCCCTTATTCCCTTTGTAGATCTCAGAAGCTAAGCAGGAGTTTTGAGTCTGGATAATGCGACAAAGAGCGACCGTCATGCACGCCAGGTCATCAAAGGCAGCGGCGGTGAGGTTGCATTATGTTGTGGGCAGCAGTGAGTGTGGAGGAAAAAACACATTGTTGCACTGTACTGTGCTTCTATGCTCCTTTGGTCAATGGATGAACTGTTGTTGCGATTGGACCTTAAAACAATCCGCTTAACTGCTGGCTGCTAATTACTATGATTGTTGGGAATAGTGGAACGTTGGTTAGCGCACCACGCTATCAACCCGGCATCCCGAGTTCAATTTACCAGCCACGGCGAACATCGGTGCCGAGATTGATCTGAACCGGTCATTGGCCTGCCTTCACCAATCCACACCGACCACCACGATGATGCACGGTCAAGTTACCCCCACTAGCACTAGCATGGCATGGGGAGGGGGCCCTCATCCAGCAGTGGATTAAGAAATGGGGTGTACCCACGCGTGGATATTCTATTTGCAGAGGCTCACCATATCACGATTATGCTCACCGCCAAAATCTGGTGAAGCAGCCAAGGAGGGGGTTTGGGGGGGGGGCAGTTTGTCCCTGGCACGGTGTAACTGCATGCCGGCCGGCCGGCTAATTGGCGGCCACAACTTCGGCACAGCGGCCCGCCGACGATGCACACGCACAAAGCACGGCTGCTGCAGGCCTCGTCGTTTCTCCGAAGAGCTTGCAGGGAGTTTTTTTAGACCGCAGAAAAAGTGGGGAAGAACGT